ATTTACTAGCAAACCGAGCATGTTTTTTAGTGGAGTGTCTCTCTAAATTTGATTTCTTATTGTGTGCGAGTTTTTCGTGGAAAATGAGACAAGTCGGAAGGCTATCTGAGTTGCAGAATGAAAGCGAACGATTCCGTCCAATCCCGATTGAATTCTCGATGCTCTTCTTCAGTTCTTCTCTTTTTTTTTTTTTTTTTTTTTTTTTTTTTTTTGTAGATGCCATGCTTGCGGTGAAGCTGTAATAAAGATAATTCGCTTCTAACTCTTTTACTTGAAACAACAAACTATACGTCACAGCCAAAGCACTGGTGAAGACGCCAAATTGTCTTACATCGAAAGAGAACTAAAACCTACATAGAAACATCCGACGACGGCGTCATTCGAGAGCTTCCGACGTACTGACGACAGTGACTACGCATGTCACGGGGGATGGGTGCGGTGAAGGCTAACTACACTAGCGAGAGTAGTTTGGGTGAGAGCCAAGATGGGTCAGTTTAACTGAAGGGGTGTGGGTGAAAAGCGCGGATATTTTTTCCTCTCAGAGGTCGGGGGTTGTTTAGGGCTTTATCTTACAATACTGCACTCACACCTACATCACTGATAGATATGCCCACTTCCGCCCCAAACTGGATGTTTACATAAATCTGAAATACGTGGTCGGACAGTACAAGTGGCTGAGAGATAGAATCAGTGCCTAATAATCATTAATCGATTCAGAATGATTTTTAAATTTTTTTTGATAAAATAAGTAATATTTGCGTATAAAACTAAAGAGCCGCAGCTTCACATCCAAAGAGCCGCATGTGACTCGCGAGCCGCAGGTTGCCGACCCCTGCACTAGAGCAATTTTTCTTCAATCTGAGCTAAGCCCTTCTAGGACTTCCTGACTATTTCGATTGTCATTTCCTGAACTAACTTCTGTTACTCATGTATTTGAATCCTCTGTTTATTTGCTCGTTTATAACAAAGCACATGAGAGATTTCTGCTTAGAAGACATATCTTCATGGATCTTCATGGAGGAGAATCTAAGGAAAATTTTTTCACTATACTTGAAGAAAGCCACGAAAGAGTCATTGCAGCCAGCCACTTCATAGACATCAGAACCCTTGGACCGAACTAGTAATACTGAGTTGTCTTCTTTCATTCGGCCACTCGTGGGCGTATTCGAGTCCAATCCTAATTTAGATTTTTCAGTCTGGTGTCGTTTCCACCGCTAACTTGGATCCTAGCTATGCTCATGGTTAAATTTATTTGATTTCAAATATATTGAATGGACGGATGTAATTTATATCGTTTAAACACTTGCTTAGACACTGCAAATTATTTTAGGACATATTTGTCAGAAAATTAAGTTTTTAAAAAGAAATTTATAATGATAACTAGAATGCTTAACAGCTGCCGTGAAAAATTAAATCGGATCCTTTTTTTACATAAGCTATTGAACGAAAGCGTTTAAAAATAAACACTCGGAGACACGTATTTATTTAGAATTCATTAAAACAGATTTATGCAGATAATAAATAATTTATTTCCTGCAAGTAAAACCTAAGAATTATTTAATATTCAGGCCACCGTCATTACTGTCATTATTTTTCATATGTTTCGAGCTAAATTTAAAATATTTCCCTGAAACTGTTTCCAGTTTTATTAGCCGTAAGTTATCGAGATGCAAAAACAGTAACTGTAATTGCGCGTAAAAAGTTTTTTAGACCAGGGTTTCTTAAACTTTTTTCAGTCGCGACCCCTTTTTATCTTGAAATTTTTTCTCGACACCCCAGGACCTAGGATGTAAACATTATTATTTACAAAAATTTTGGGGGACGCCATAAGTATTGCGCAAATTCGGCACACGCGTGAGAGAAACTGTCAATTTTTTCACTTGTACTATAATATACTATTGCAGTTTTTAGGTCGTTAACTTTAATTTTTAATTTTAAGACATGGAACAATGTGAACATTTTAAATAAGTAACAGACGAAATGACAGCGTCACGTGAAAAGCAAGGAAAATGAACGTTTATATTATAAAAAAAAATGCGTCGAAACGTTTTCGCTTTTTTTCTTTGTCTGTATTATCTTCTCTTTGTCTATTTTCAGATACATTGTGTAAAAATATTTGGTAATTGTAAAATTATTACAATAAGTTAAAGAAATATCAAAACTGCTAAAGTTTTTGGCGACCCCTGTTGCAGGTCCGCAAACCCCTTTGTGGTCGCGACCCACAGTTTAAGAAACCCTGCTTTAGACGATGAACGGCGATCTCAAAATGAAGAGTAGTTCGTAAAGCTGTTATTTACTCGTAAGGGTTTCTTTTATATTAGCATGCCTTGTCTTCCCATTAGTGCTCAAAATTATTCTAAATTCCCTTATTATAGTGCCATTATCCATGGTGACGATATTTATTCTTATATGTAATGGCTTTTATATATATTTATTGATATATATACTATGCCACTTTTATATCATTAGGCTAGCTTCTTGAATTATACCTTTTATGTTTAAATTTAATCTCCTAAATGTGTTTATGTATATAATAATGCTACGGCATCTATATATTTCAAATTTAAGTTAATTATGTATACTTAGCGTTACATTTCTAATCAGAGGTTTTTCGGGTTTAGACACATACACTCTATTTATTATCCATAAAGGCGCTGCGAACGCAAACGATGGAGGCAGAATCTTAGCAGAAGTTGGCTTCTCAACTACACTTTTAACTGTTATGTTACTGGACCATCAATCTTTATTTCCCTCCGATCATCATATCTATTCAGCTTTATCAAACACACTCCCTGCACATATCTGGGAAGCACTGTTTATTGTAAATGAACACAACCTCCTCCCCTTTTGATAACACTCATGGACTCAATCGTATTTTTAGGAAATTTTCTACTTCTTTTCCTTTTCTTTCAATAGGCCCTTTTTTTCTTCTATATTACTAGTACTCTCCTCTGAAATACGAGCTAGCTTTCTATATACATACATTGAACTGCGGTGCTTAAGAGTAAGTTTTGAGAATTACGAATGCTGCCTTTTGACAATAGATGTTGCTGACCGTTGCCCTGGATTTCTGACGTCAGAATTATGTGTTGCTATCTTTGGCGAAGTTTTCGCTCATGTTAAAATACAAACTCTTGGCACCATATTTTTATTATGAATTTGTGCAATGTAACAAAATATTTGCAAGTAAAACAAACGTGACAGTATAAGAAACGCATTCTGGTAAGTAAGGATTCTTTTTATTCGGGGTTAGTATTTTTATATATTGTCCATATTACGTACTTTCATCAAAATTTTTTAATCATATTAATTCGAATAAATAAAACTTTTATGGTGAGTAAAGATCGTTTGGCCTAGCATGTGTGTTCAATGCAATTAGTAGTGAAAGTGCTCACGCTATACTGATATTTAGACGTGTTATTTAATTTTTGGTTGTGAAACATTTTCAGTTACCGAATATTTTGAAATTAGGAAAATTACATAATTCAATAGGAGGAGACATTAAACAAGATTTGCTTCTTAACATGCAAGAAGTTAATGCTATCTGTTGAATATTTAAGTTTTATTCATTATAGCATTTAAGAATTATATTGTCTCCAGCAGTTTTCGTAAACTAGCAGTTTGTTTTACAAAAATGCTATTTAAAAGCGATGTAAATGTAAAAGCTAGTTATTCATAAACTGTTTGTTAACTGGACAATATTTCTTTCTATTTGTTAATTCTTTGTTATGTAGTGATTGCTTGTAATCAGTATTATTTGATAATCAGATTAATTTTTACTTGCTATGTGTAGGCATTAATTTCTGTTCATTTATAGTTAAAAATTAGGTAAACTGATGCGATATTTTTAAAGCACTTAATAACATAGTTTATTTGACCTTTATCAATTAGAGAGATCATGATTTTTTTTATGTGTTCTTTTGTTAACTTTTATTTCTTATAAAATGTGTTTATTCTATGCACACAATGTACGTTGTTTTTCAGAAATAGCATTTAAATTAAAATGAAAGCTATCATTAATCAGCACTGTCAGTTTAGTAATTTTACATATATGAAAATTCTATATGTTATGAATTGCTTCATATATAGCAGGGGTCTCCAAACTTCTTTAGCCTGCAGGACATATTACCTCTTTTACTATCTTTTGACGGCCAATACGTAGTTAATTCATCACTCCGTGGTGATGTAATATAATGAATTTGAAGGGTGCCAGGGTGCCTGGGCGCCATATTATGAGAAATATAACTGAATGTGCTAAATAATTAAATGGGTAAGAGTTTAAATTCATAATTGCTAATAGTTAAATACATATTTTTTCCTTAAGTACCTAATTACTAATCCATACATAATTAACTATTTTTTTAACAACTATTTCACAGAAGAATACATGTACACACAAGAGAAACAAAATACGAAGTGCGACGCCTTAGTGCCACTAGTAAAAACAAAAATGCAATCAGGAGGAAAAAAGAACAATATACAATAAAGAATCTGAGCAACAATTTGCATAACACATATACAAAATTACATTAATACTAACATTTAGGATCGCCCTTGGGCGTTTACTGAAATTGGGGTCCCTAGTATCATAACAATAGTTAACAACCACAGGATTGTCCAGAAGTTCCTGTTTATCATAAATGCCCTAGATAGGCGGCAATAAAAAATCACAAAGATCCTCTATTCTTAACTCTTTACGAATTTGGCTATTCCGAATGTACCAGGGGGCATTACATATCATACGCAATACCCCGTTTTGGGCAGCTTGTAACTGCCTTCTCAAACTTTTGCACGAGTATGCCCAGACGAGGCATGCATAACTAAGAATTGGACGCAACATGGTTTTGTAAATGAGCAACTTATTATCAATAGATAGAACACTGTTTCAAGCAATTAAGGGAAAGAGAGCTTTCTATATACTTTTCCTTCGCACCTAAGCTTGATTTTCGCCCATCAGGGCAGAAAGACTTAGCGGGTGCCAAAGAAGACGTCTGTCTGTTTATAAACGTTTCATTCGGTAAATGGCAAGCATAAAAATCTTGACAGAAGATACGCACAATCATTATGAGCTTTTAGAAGAAGGTTCTGCTCTAAATTATTTTATTTGCTTATTTACTCTATATGACACTTTTAGCTAAGCATAATTAAAATTTTGGTACATCATGAATCATAACATTAATCACAAAAATCGTGTATGTAAAAAACATAAACTGTGTGTGCAAAAAATCATAAATAATTTCAGCTAGTAAACTCATTTTCTATTTTCTTCGGAATAAAATTTTATTAAGGCCTATTGTAGAAATCAGTAGAAAGTGAATGATACATTTATGAGACATTTTTCTTTATAAGTAAATTTCGTAAGAAAATTTTTTTTTATGCACCACCCAAACATTATAATTAATTATAAAATTCTGCTTTTGGTATTACTTTTTATTATAGCTGTGATAAAGTTAGGTGAAAAATGCGGTTCTTTGTTCTGAAACGGCCTACACATAAGCCTTTGATGGCATTTGAGATTTGCAGTTTACTGATTAGGCGAATAAGGTTCCTAGTTCTGGTGAGTAAGCGCAATTCCCGCTTTAACTATAAAGAGCCGAAAAATCTACTATTTGTCAAACAAGTGCATGAGAGAGTCTTAATTTATACATTGCTAACTTTTCAATAAAAATTGGCAAATAAAAAAATTTAATGAGTATTCAATAGGCTTTTACAGTTGGATAATATTTATTACATTTTATGAGAAGCATTTTCTTTGATTTTTTGAGCATATATTTGTAGTAATACATTAAAATACAAGTTGATAGTATGTGTATATATGACATTCGGTGCATTATGTATTAAAAGCACTATTATTCATAACATTATTTCATTATGTTTTATTTTTTCAGTTTCTTAAATATATTCATTGTATATGCCATAGTCATTATTTTTACTTCAAATATGTAAATTTAGTTTGCTAGAAATTTCATTAATTAAGACATCATTGATGAAAGCTTCAAAAATTTATTTTTCTGTAAGTTTATACCCTCTAAAAATGATTTGACATTTTCTGATTAACTGTACTATAGGTTTCAGCAATTGTAAAATTGCTGTGATTTTGGCATATTTTTCAAGCATACATATAGCAGCAGCCAATCCAAGTATATGTGGATACACACATGTGAGTGTGCAACATAGATTTACACACATTATACTTAATCATTATTTTGCTAATTAGAGTTTTCTCCTGAGGGCTTTTTTTTTATCTTTTATAAATCATAATGGGATTGGGTTAGAAAGCACTAGCTTCCTTCAAAAATATGGTGTTTTACCTAACAATAGAGGTTATGAAAATTAGCATTCTATGAAGCTGTACTTCCTAAATAATATTTACATTATTAACAAATTTTTCGAATTCTGTTCCAGAAAAGAATTATATTTTTGAAAAATTATGTACACAAGGATTTGTAAACCATTTTCAAGAACAGATAGCAAAAAATGCAGGAAATTCTTGACATAAACTTCATTTGCATACAGCCAGTTTTATACTGCATTTTCAGGGATAAAACCATTTCACAATGCGTTAGTGAAACTGGAGTGTGAAAAATATTGATGATTCCATTTTAATCCCAGTGTTGATGGTTGGTGATGCTTGATGATTTCAGTGTTATTTTTAATGAGCTATGCTACATTAACTATGTAGGACCCGTCATCAATGGCCGTATCAATTCATGCATATGTAAGTAAATGTTGCCTTTTACCGGGTGGAAAAACACTTTTGTAATCCACTATTGAATCTCATAATAAAAAAATTGGAGGATGCTTAGTTGTGGTAAAAGTATATTTACGGGTACCTCTTGGCGAAAATTGGCAATTTTTGGCGGTACATGAATACCGAGTTTGTGCAATTCTTTGACTTGTTATTTTGGCATTGTGTAGCGGCATTTTAGCACCAAAAATTGTCGTTACACAAAGACAAAGTAACAAGTCAGAGAATTGCACAAACTTGGTATCCATGTATACATTGACCTACTTCAAAAAACTTCACAGAATAGCACAAACTAGGCATTGCACACTCCCTTTATCCATGCACATGTGACTTATTTTTACTTTAAAAAAATCACAGAATTGCACAAACTTGCCATTGCGCACTTCCTTGACTTTGTACACATCGATATATTTTCACTTAAAAATCAAAGAAGCTCCCAATTCTAGGTAAAAGTATATTTACAAACATTCAGCTACTCAGGTTACCATAAATGAAACAACAACTTGGCGATAAATGAAACAACAACTTCATAATACATGGGGTACCCTCCAATCTACTCGAACCTTAGTTGTATATAAAAAAGTATAGTGACTTCAGAAATCTATTTAAATTATTTATATTAGGGTTAAATAATGTAAATTTTAATTTGTATGGAGCATCAAAAAGCTATATGAAAAACATTGCATCATAGTTTTTGTCCCATTTGACCATTTCTATTTAATATTACTAAAAAAGTATTATAATAACATTATAGATATATTACTACAGACCAAACAGATTATATAAAGAGACCGCAGAATTTTTGTGCAAGTAATTAGTTTTATTTTGTTTTTATTTGTAATGTTTATTTTTTGTTTATTCGGAAGATAAAAAATCAAATGTAGATATTTGTTATTTATTTGGTATTTACGGAAAATCCCGTCGAACACAAGAGATGGCACCAATTGCGCCAAACCAAAAAAACCCATTTACTAAATACAAGAAAAAAAGTTATATTCTTATTTTTCTTTCAAATGTATTATATTCTCATTTATATTTAATTTTTCATTAAAAATTTCCATTATTTATTATTAATTAGACATACTGTAAAAGCAATTATTTTTGCTAGGTTTTAATTTTCGTGTGAAAATATGTCACGTGAAATACACTTTTTCGCTATTCAACAGCATGTTCTTCTGTTGTGGGCAGCTCCCAAATTCTAATCTTTTTTTTTTTTTTTTTTTTTTTTTTTTTTTTTTTTGCAAAAATTTGTGATAGAGGGGAAAAAAGGAGTCTACTCAAGAATAATAATTAACACATGTAATCAATGTTACACCAAACCCAGCATGTTTGAAGAAGGTGTTTCAATTTTTGGCGAAAAATCGTGTAGTTTCGTGTCTTTTCTTTAATAGGCAAAAATGATGAATGGGATTTTCCGGAAGTACCTATTTATAACTTAACTTTCCCAACTCTTTCTAAATTTGGCATTCCTTCTCCTTTTAGTACCCTGTAATGGTTTGGTAAATACAGTATTAAATTTTACAAAAGGTATTTAAGGATTTGATTTAAAATTTTGATTGTATTTTTTAATATTTCATTACAGATATATTAGAGTATGCTAAACAGATTGGAATAGATGTGGAAAATGAAAAGCATTTGATGTGGATTGCTGAAGAAGGTCTTGCTGCGAAAGTTCCTGAGCCTTGGTTGATTCTGTAGGTTTTTTTTTTTTTTTTTTTTTTAAAGTGCAGTAATTTATAGATGAAATCTTTATTTCTGCAAACTTGTAAACTACATGATTAATTAAGCAGAAAACATTTATGTTTGCTTCTATCTAATCAAAGCTTATAGTGATGTTTTGAAATCTTTATTAGCCAAATTCCAAATTAGACAATAAATCCATCACTACTTACTGTATATTAGAGAAGTTAAACTTTGCTAATTTAGAACGGTCTGCAAAATTGCATTGCATTCTTATTTTAAAATGATTGTACTTCTACAGTTTATTTTTTTTTAAATTAATTTTCAGTTCGAGATTTAATGTGTAGTTTTACTTGTATAATAGATTGACATACAGGTTTTATTGTTTTATGTATCTTTCTGTTGTAACATTATAATGTAACATAATGTGTATTTATCTTTATGGAAATTTAAATTGTTGCCTTTTCACACATAAGCATTTTTGGTCTACTGTGACATTCTTGATTTTTTCCCCTATAACTGCATAATGCAGTACAAAGTCCACAATCCGGACTCGTTGGGACTTTGGCGATTCCGGATTAGGGGTTTTTCCGGATTATAAATCATCAATTTAAATATGGTAAGATGGCATGCAAAAATTATACAATTAAAAATATGAAACCATAATTTATGAAATGAAGAGCAATTATGATCTAAAGGGTATCAAAATTTACAACAAAAAAAAAAAAAAAAAAAAAAAAAAAAAAAAAAAAAAAAGAAAAAAAAAAAGAAAAGCTTAATATTTATTTGTTTACTATATTAAACATTTCTTTTAATGTAAGTTGTTTAAGTTGCTTCGTTTTTTGGGCTAATACTTCCTCTTTAATTCTATAAACAGACATAATTTCTTGCTCAGTTACAAAGTTCCACTGTTCAAGTCCTGTAATTGCTGTGTCGAGAATACCGACTAACTTGTCAATTGAAATTTTTTCATTTTCAATAACCTCTCTGTCACTTTCTCCACTATCGGAAGTGATATTTTCTGGATTTAGAACCATACTACAGATTTTGCCATCCATTAATTGATTAATGATTGGGCCATTGTTGTCACAATGAAAAATTTCTGTTATATCATCTTCATTTATTACCGCTTCTCCACATTTCTTTACAAAATCCAATAACTAGAAAATTTCACCTTTAGTTAGCTATGTCCGAAAACCTTCAAATTTGCAGCTACCATCTTCATCGTCCTCACTATGAAATATGGTAGCTGGCCATAAATTATGCCAAGCATTTTAAATGTATCTGGAGACACATCCTCCCAATGCAATGCAGCGCAATGCCTGCCAACACAATGCAGTGCATGCGTAAAGCATACAAAAAAAAAAGTTTGTGGCTTTGAGGTCCGGATTATAGATCATTTCAGATAATGGATGCCCAGATTACGACTTGTACTGTATTAAATATAATAATAAAATTTTTGATCAAATCTTCTGGTGTTATAAATGGTATGTTAAAATTTATATCAGCTGCAAAATACCTCAACTGTCAAACTATAGTTACTATTTTTATTTCTCTGTGAATATTGTTAAAGTAATTTAAAATATGCTGCTGTTTTGGGTAAAATGAGAAGAGAATTATGCAAATTTGCTTGTATATTAATATTATATATTTAAGTTATTTATCTCTATGTAATGTTTTAAATGTAAAAAAATGTGTCATACTATTTTAATGATGTGCATTTAACGAGAGGTTTTCCAAATGTATGTTTATGTTCTCTCTTTTTTTGTTTTCGAAAACCTTCTATGATTTTATTCAAAACTTTGGCTTTAAATGACAATAACTCTTAAATATGTTATTATAATTGTGTATTATTTTGTTGTATAGGAAAATAAAAATAATACAGTAATAATATCTAAAAATTTAATACTTATACATACATAATATATATAATATTATTGAGCCTAGTATCACAAAACCTTTGTGATGATATAGTGATTTTGATGTGTGTGTGCCTTTCCATCAAGACAGTAGCAGTGCAGTACGAGATACTGTTAAGAGTAGTGTAAAATGTAATCTGATCTAATGATACCAATCAGATGTGTGTGTTGAGAGTATTGCAGTCATGATATACGTGTATATATAGATAGTATATGTTTGTATTCTTTATTTGTATGTACTGTTTTAAATGCAAAAAGTATGCCTTCACTTAACAACTTAGTGGTGATTGATTTATTGGGCATCTGAAAGTTGAAATATTTGCAACGTATATAGATCATGAGGCATAAATTAGTAATAAAAATAGTACACGATAAAAAATAATGCAATCTGTGGAACAGTGTCAGAATGTTATGAAGAACAGTTATGAAGATTTAATGTGTGAAATTTAGAAATGTGACCAGTATGAAATTTGTGTTTATTATATCAGTATAATCTGATTATCTGCACATCATGTTTTGGCTTTTTCTTGTGATTCTGAATATTTTGCTTTATATTCAAATATACAATATAGGTGTGTTCACATGTAGTAAGCAGTGGTGTATTTACAATTTTTAAATGAGTTTTATTTTATATTTTTAAATATTACAGATCTGATGATAAAGATAGAATCTTCTACTATAACAAAAATACTGGTGAAACATCTTGGCTTCATCCTTTAGATAAAGAATACTCTGCCTTAGTGTCTGAAGAAAGAACACGAAGCAAAAGTCTACTGTCTTCATCTTCAGACTGTGGATTTGAGTCTAAGGTAAGTAGTAATTTAATAATGCATCTGTAAATTTATACAGTGGCTTTTTTTAAATGGTTGGAGGAAATAATAATTTTGTTTTGCATTTTTGCATGGAATGCTGTTATTATTCAAGTTCCTTACAGTTACAATGCTATAATTGTAATTTTTCTAAAAATTATATGCATAATTAACACTGTAATGAGTAATGATAGATATAAGTTAAAATTATTAAATATTTTGGTACTTTCTGACCATCTACACTACTGGTGAAAAGTTGCTAATGAGTTGGCGACTAAATTTTGGTCAAGCTAATATTTGAAAGGCAGCAGCTGTTTTGAAAATGGCAGTGCATTAAGAATTCCATAAAAGTACAATGAATTAAATTTAATAACAAGAATGCAAGAAACATTCGTAATGAAACACTTATGTTTCTCAAGAAATCTTTTTGTAATATTTTAATTCTGTTCTGCTTCCCATGTACACAGTAACCTGTTTTCATTTAAATAAAAAAATCAGAGAATTTCATTAATTTGGCATTGCACATGCTGTTGTACTTCTATGTACACAATGATCTGTTGTTCTAAAAAAAAAAAAAAAAAAAAAAAAAAAAAAAAAAAAAAAAATCAAAGCATTGCATAAATTCAGCATCACATACAAATTCCAGTCGATGAAATTTGATAAAGAAGTGTAACTTAATGGAATGCAAATTTTCTACTGTTGGACAAAATGCCATATTTACGAAGAAATGCAACACTTTCTTTTTCCTCGGCTGGCAAACTCCACAGCTGAGTTATGATTCTTTATAAGTTGAAAAAATAATGTACTTATTGCAAAAACAAAGTAGTAATCAGAAAAATAATCATCAGCTTTGGAGGTTGAAATCTAATCATTCAAATACCTGAGTTGTTATGTGAATACATTTTAGCAACATCATAGGTTGCCTGTTTTGATGATATAGTGCTTTGCTTCATGAATATGTTTCATGGAGTTGCAGATAATCAGAAAAATATAATATTTCTTAACAAAATAAGACCATAAACAGTTGTGTTTGAATGAAAATTTTAATTAGATTAATTTTCTAAATATTATAGTTAACTCCACATGAAATGTAAATTCAACCATATACTGAGTCTAATTTTTTTAGTATGAAATTATGCCCTAATCTGTTTATTTGTGAAAAAAAGTCCTTTAAGAGTATATTGCAAGAAGGAAGTTTCCTTTTTTAAACTGCTTTTATGTAGCATCACATAGCAAAAAGTTATGATTGTGACTAGAGTGCAAATAAAAGGTATGTTGAATTTTTTTGAGGAAAATTTACTTATAAAGACGAAAGAATTGCTTAATATTCCAGTATTTATGCAAATTTCATTTGCATAATTTTTTAAAATTAATTTATTAAAAGTTTTGATATTTGTATTTTTTAGTAGTTTATTCATAGAATCTTTCAGCATCATACAAATTTTAAATGACATAATCCATCAATATATGTATAGGTATTTAGAGATCAACTCAGTGTCAGAAATTTTACAGTCTATGATTTTTTATTAAGAATTGTTTATATTATAAATATTTATCTGCTTTTAATAATGAGAAAATGGGAAAAAAAAGTTTGTTTTAAATCAGTTAGAAATGTCTGGTTAAAGAGTTTACTAGTTCAGCCACTTAAAGAACTTAGTGTTAGAATTTCTGTATTGATTATGCCATTTACTTCTTTATTTTTTTAAAAGTTTGGTTAAATAAACTTTTACTATACTTTAAAAAATTGATAATCATCAGCATATTATTTCATCATGTGTGTAAGGTTCACCATAATGTGCCGAGTTTGAATACTGTGTTTGTTAAACAAAACTGTTTAGGGTTTTCTAAACAAAGGCTATTTGAAACTGTGTGCATAAATGGATGACAATTGGTTGTCACCAGCAGCTCATTTCATCATAAGTAATGTGGATATGAGCAAGTTTTCCTCAAAAAGTCGTCCACTAAGATATGCCTACCTTGGATACCAATCCAAAGGTAGGCATATAACCACCTTTGGTGGTCTATAAAGGTACCATAAAGGTAGGCATATAATTACCTTTGATAGTCCACCTTTGGTGGATATCCTTATATGCATTGCCATAATTCTCCCCTCCCAATTGAAAATTGTGTATTATATATGTACATTCAGCCTTCTAGTACTGGGATAAAACTGAAATGTATTTACTTGCTTTTATTCACTGATAAAAATTTAATTCTTTTAACTTCAAAATTGCATCTTTCCTTGTCAAAAGTAATTTTTTTCAGGGGAGGGGTATGTTGAAAAGTACTATCATATTAATTAATATTTGACTGTATAAAATTTGGCTAATAGTTGATATAAATTTTATGCTAGAAAACATAAAATTAAAAGAAATAGAAATATTTGAAATTAGGATGCATCTAGAATAAACTTGCATACTTATAAATTCAGAAAATTGCTCTCCTCCATACCAATTAAGTTATATTAAATATTTATGAAATATAAAAAAAATATTTTTTACATTTTTCAGCAACTCTAGAAATTAATATTTAGAATTATTAATGTATAGTTATTTCCCGCAGTAAAATTCAGTTTCATTTTGTTATGAGTTGGAACTATTAATAAGATGTTGCACAACTGTTAAACATTTGGATAAAATGCTAAAAACATATGGAGCCAATCTGTATTTATTATTATGTTATTGACATCATAGTTTTAAGTATTACAGTTTTAGGAATATTTTTTTTTTTTCATATTATTACAATTACTATTATTTAAACAGTGCTAATATTATGTCACTAATTTGTGAAAGCTGGTAGTGCTAACCATAGTCATTTATACTCTACCCATCATGTGAAGAGCTCTGAGTAGGCCTGTTGCTCAGACACATTAACAAGAGAGATAATATGTTTAAAACTTAAATTTAAGTGTTGCATGGTTGAAGTCTTTGAGATGTGAAATGTTTTTGATGACATATTAAAAACATTTGTGGGATTATGGCAGTCACAAACTGAGTATTTGAGATGTAAACATGTTTGTTGTGTATGTTCTTAATTTTTTTAAAAATAAAACTTGGTGATAACATTACATAATGGGTGACTATGTAAGTAATAGGAGCAGTAATAACCAGGAAGTCTCATATTTTATTGTTTCATGATAAGCCAATTATTCTTGGGTGCAGTTTCAGTTGCATTTGTGTAATTTCTATTGTACTTTACCACTTCATATAAAGAACAGTATTGCATAATTAAAAGAAAAAGTTTTGCGTTCTGTCATTTTTATGTGTCTGATAAATATCGGTCTAAAAATAGGATTTATTTTAAAATTAAAGTCATTTATTTCATTTCCTCACTAAGCAAAGATATATAGTAAAAATTCATATTCAAAATATTGTGTGTATTTTGTAGTCAATCATTGGAGATGTATGCTCGCTACAAAAAAAATCAGGGAGGAATTTCTGATTTGAAGGTTTGTGAATTGAAACTAAGCACTCTTTCTGCACTAGTGATGCACGTTTTTGCAATTTTCTTTGGCACTAAACCTTTTAAAGTTTTCTGAAATTATATCGATAAGCAATTACATGATTATTATATATAGTGCTACATTCAAAAATTTGCATATTTTTTAAGTTGCACTGTTTTATTTGCACCTTTTCCTCCCCCAAACTCAAAATAATATAATAAATCATATGCATTCTGCCCAGTTTAAGTCTAATTTCAGCCAATATATGATTAAAGGAATTTCAATTAAACCAAATTAGATAGATTTGATTATTTAATTTGACTAGCTAGATTATGATTGTCCTTTCTTTTATTTTAAAATATTTATCACAGTTTTTAATCAAATTGTCTGCATGAAGTTCCTTTTCTGTTGATGTTAAAATATGTAAATGTCCTTATAAAAAATAAAAGTGGTATATAAAAATAATTAAATAATAAATAAAATAATTCTTTCCAAGTTGTTATAACTGTTAAAGTATGTATTTCATTTTCAAGAAATTGTTCAGTATTCTACTTGATATGTGATGAATGTTTTATTTTTATTAATGGTGTACTGATACAGAAATGATATTTGCATCTTTAGGAAATATCATTCCATTATTCAAGTGAGTTTAATTTTAACTGATACAGTCAAAAGTCGTTAATTCAGACACCCATAATCGGAATGATCTATAATCCGGACCTCAAAGCTAAAAACTTTCTGTGCATACGCCGTGTTGACACATGCGCATAGGCGTTTACGCGTGCACGCAAGACCTTTACGACTGTGCATATGCATCTGCGCAATCGCAGAATACGTTTTCGCGTGCACGTTTAATGTATAACGGACGGTATAAGCTAAAATTATCTAATTATCTATTTCAGTTAATGTTGATGATTGCGTTGTTCCTTAATTTTCGAATTGGATCCGGCTTATTATTTTTTGCAGACTGTAAGAGCAATTTTAAAAAGTAAGCTTAAACTTTTCGATTATGTCAATAGAATTTCCGATGCTGGAGCTCCCAAAGGATCTACAAAACGAAAGTATGTTTCGATGTCCATCAAACAAAAAGTGCATTGCTACAAAAAATGGATAGGCATATCCTTTGTTTATCTAACCATTCCAAAATCTGTTTATCAATTTCACGCTGCTCTGCGCAGAGGGGTGGGACGTCGCGGCGCGCAATGAACTTGGAAGTTGATCTGTCAGCACTATCCTTATCTTCAGGGCAGATGTTTTTATTTTATTCGGCTTATAATTCCCTTACTAAATGTAGTATTTCATCATCGATGTACTCCATCTTTGATATGAATTTAAATCAAATTCCTCATCATTATAAATATCACGAATACAAATCAAATAGTTTTCTGGTTGCAATTTTCAATTTTGGCTATGTGTAATGTATGCTTTACGCTTGCGCGCGTTGAAAGAAATGTTTAATAAAGTACAAATAAATATTAAGCTTCTTTTTTTGTAAATTTTGATACCCTTTAGATCATAATTGCTATTATTTATAAATTAAACGGTTTCATATTTTTAATTTTATAATTTCCTGCATGCCATCTTACCAGATTTAAACTGATGATCTATAATCCGGAATCGCGAAGTCCCGACAATCCGGATTAAAGACTTTTGACTGTATTATAATTAATATATGTACAGGGTGATTATAATTAAAGTTGAGATTTTCAAAACACTCTAACTATTAGTGAGGCAATGGAATTTTGTTTGTGAAGAAAAAAATAGCTCCAAAATGTGCCGATAGATGGCGTTGTCAGGGTTCACATTGCTCTTGTGGAGGTATGCACATTTCTAAGACTTGACATGTGCACCGCAGACATAGCTGTGATAAAATTCCAGAACAATAGCGGAATTTGTAATGCTTCATCGTGACTGGCAAACAAGGATCGCGCTCTGCTCGTTAAGCTTTTCGATCAGACCAGTGACTCTGTGTTAACAGCTATCAGGAAGTTTTGGACATTAAAAGGCATAAAATCTGGCTCCATGACCACTTATGGCCTGCAGAAAATGATGAAAATTCAAAGAGACCAGTTCGTTTAACATGAAACAAGGTACAGGATGAAAAACAGTTTTGGTGGCGGCAGTGGAAGATGTGGCCACAATGTTACAAGGACAGAAGAACAGTGAGGCAGGAATCAACAGTGCATGGGAAACTGGAACAAATATTGGATATGCCTATCAGCTTGGGGCATAATGTCCTACGGAACATCTTACACTGTTATTTGTGCAAGATAACTCATGTGCAGCAGTTGCCACTTGCTGACCTGAAAACACGTGAATAATTTGCACAACAATTTCTTGCTCGGAGGGAAGTGGACAATGGATCGCCAGGGAACATCCTGTGGTCTGGCACAGAGTACATCCTATGAAGCCCATTTCCATTTGCAAAGTTCTGTAAATGTGCAAAATTGCGGGATATCAATGATCGAGAATCTGTTCCCACTACAGCCATTACCTCTTCAGTCTAGAAGGTTCCTGTGTGGTGCAGAATATGGCAGCATTTGTCATTGGTCCGTTCTTCTTCGAGATCACACCCGCGGGTCCCATTAACTGCATTACTGTCAAGCAATATGAAGCACTTTTGCGTAACCATGTCCTTCCAGCAATTCAGCAACATCAGTGTATGGATCGCATAATATTCATGCAAGATGGAACTCCTCCAGATGTTTGTACTTGTGTGAAGCACCCGAGCCGCCATTTTCCAACAGGGTGGCTGCCATGCTCCCCCAATGATATGTTACCCCAACTCATATGATTTTTGGCTTCGGGGATCGAGGAATGTTGTTTACAGTGGGTGGATCAAGAATCTGCACAACTTGAAGGCAAGGATAACACAAAGCATTCATAGTGTCAGCACACATATTCTCCGAACTGTTGTGGAACGTGCCATTTTGCACTTCCAACTTGTAGCGGAACAAGGCGGAGGCCATATTAAATAACTTGTGCATTAATCATCTGTAAGGTGTTTGTTTCATGAAGCTCCTCTTTTTCCTCTTGTTACTATTGTTGTTTTCGCTGTACACATGTATTTTTTAAACTGTCCTCTGTTAAGATGTCTTTTCGCCTGTTGTAAACTGCTGGAGTCTAACGTTTTCTTTCGGCTAACAATATTCTTGTGTTTAACAAATCCGTTTAAGCCTTACAACTGATAGCCCCATCTATCAGCACATTTTAGAACTATTTTTTCCTTCGCGAAACAAAATACCATTGCCTCACAATTGTTCTGGTAAAATATCAAGTCATTATGACCGGTAGTTTTAAAGTTAGAGCGTTTTAAAATCGCAACTTTAATTATAATCATCCTGTATAAATATATATATATATATAAAAAATATGCTATAAAAATGAAATTTTTAAATATTATTTTTTTTGATAATTTATATACTATTTTTAATGTAATTGCTCTGAGCTTTACAAATGGAATAGGAGATGAAGAAATTTTCATATAGGTGTGGCAAACTTTTTTCATTATTTTTTAAATGAAGTCAATTATTGCACTACATTTTGTGTAATTCCATATGTTATATCTTGAAGCAATATCCGATAGAATTAAGTATATGTATGCCTATCTAATATTCTAATTTATAAAGTTTGAAAATTGTTTGCTTTCATCCAACCATTTAAAGAAGTCACTGAACACGATCCATGATGGATCTCAATCTTCTGGGCGATTTTCTAAAGCACCATTACCACAGGTATATTTTCTTTTCATATGCATGTACTTTTATGAGTTATACAAATTTTCTATATTGACAAAGCCGTATTTTTCAAAAATTTTTTAAAAATTGAAAATAATATAGTTTTTACCTCACATTAAGATATTTTTAGTACTTCTCAAAATTACTGGAAAACAATATGAGGGGCGAATTATGATTACAACCAATATAGTGATCAGTTACATTTATTCAATTACAATACCTATTGTGGTGATACAGGGACTGGACCAAAATATCACCAAGTTTGGGGATTTCTCACCAAATGTGGTGACAAAAATTAATGGGCAAAACCGTTGACTTTTTGTCAAATTACCGAGATACCCATTTACCCAATGTTAGACTTGCCCCTGTATTCTTGCTTTTTCAGCATAGCTTATCTCTAGATTTTTCATGTTACATTACACAGCAAAATACAGCAATTTCACTAAAATCATCTATCTATGTACAAAATTCATAACAAAATATAATGTTGAGATTAATTGGTAATTTTAGCTTATAAAAAGCAATGAATGATGGTTTCAATTAATGCATTTTTGATAAAATAATCTTTTATTATTATGATGACATAAAGATATTATCCAATGATATCATTATGTCAATTATTATCCAATGATATCATTATGTCATCATTATGCATATTATTCATATCAGGAAGATAATTTTTTCCTTGTAATTTAATATTTTAAAGCAATCTATAAGTTTTTTTATGTTATAGACTCATTTGTTTTCTCAGTAGACAATTATTTTATGTTGGATTTTCTCAGTACGAACATGATCTTTGTGTTATCTGCAAAAGAATTCGTATACACTGAATGATAAATTCAATTATATTAAATATTAATTTTGTATAATTACAGCTTAGGGCATTATGGTGTTATAAAAATTATTGTAATAATGTAAACCATATTTCAGGTAATTTCTTTGTAATTTTGTAAGATTTGTTATGAAAATTTTATAGGGTATTGTGTATGAATCCAAGGCCATTTATTTCTCATTTTATTTAAGAAATGGCGAAAGAGTTCTATATTAAAAAAGTTAAATATATGCATATATATGTAACACTCATTTATATATTATTTTCAATTTCTGTCCAGTCTTTTAATATTCTAGAATATGCATGATGTTTTAAATCAGTGGTTCTCATCCTTATTTTTCATGACATGCTGTCCTTTGTAATGAATTCCTGTGGTATATCATAAGTAACATACTGCAGAAGAATCAGGTTTGCACTTGCACAGTTTACTTTCAGCAATAAGTTTTATTTTTCTTGCAGGCTTGCAATCATAATGCCATTTTGTTTTTGTTCTGATGTATTTTGTGGTTGATTGTTAGCTTGACTGGCACATGTTCTATGCGTTATTTTGTAAGCTATGTTTTTTTGTTCATTAATGAATGTAAAAACAAGAATGGGAGAGACTTCTCTTAAATAATCAGTTTTTTTAATTAAAGCAGCATCCACAAGTTGGATATGCTTGAACTCTACCCCAGTTGTAAGTGAGAACAGTAGCTTGGATTCTGAAGGTCTCATTCCCTCTCATGATATGACCATTGTGTTGAGAGGGCTTTCATCTCAACATTTTATAAAAGCTCATGTATTGCAAAGACAGTATATGCTCACAATTGTTGGTAACAAATGATTTACTTTTTATTGGAGTTCAAAGTCAAACATAATGGCATTCTAAACAGTCATTTCCTGCTAACTATTGCACTATCTAGGGCAGTTGTCTCAATTAAACAGAAAATGTGTGCAGGTTTGACTTCAGTTTCAGTATAAATTGAACTTTCAAGTAAGGAATTATAAATTCAAATTGCTCATTCATATTTAAAATTTTTTTGCCGTAATCCAAGAAACCTTCTATTAAATAAGCATCTAAAATATTTTTCTGCTACTTTTTTGTAATTAATATTGAATAAAATTTTTAATTATTATTATTATTTATTTTAATTTTACCAGAAGTATCACAATGTTTCAGAAGTTATGGGGGGCACGTAGCAAAATGTATTGCAACACACTTGTTGAGAACTATTGATTCAAATCCTAAATAAATTAAATTAAAAGATTGGTATATATTGTTTTCTTGTATCAGATTTGATTTATAATTTTTCTTTAACACATTAAAAATAACTTATACGTGCATATACTGTATATAATGACTTTATTACTTTTCTTTCTAGTTATCCTCTCTTGCTGATGCTCCTCCTCTGTCATCAAGTGGGAAAAATACAGTGAGTTTTCATATTTTTTAAAAATATTTGCAAACCAAACCTTATGGTATAAGCTATTTTTCAAAGTGTATTACATTAATTATTCTTTTTAGCCATCCTCTTTTAAGTCCAGCCAGAATGAAAATGCTTCCTCAAGGAGCAAAAAAATTGAATTGGGACACTTTGAAAATAGGCGTGGTACTCAGTTAGCACCTGTACGATTGAACAACTTAAAAATGCCTGTGTCTAGCTCACAGAAGTCTGGTACTGGTATGTCTTTCATGCCTAAGGGATCTGCTCTGTCTAAAAATATTAGACGTGCTAAGGAAGTGCCTGCTCACAATGACAGTGTTTTAGAAGAGGAAAAAAACAAAAGTGTATGTTGTAATTAAATTTTTATAATTCAGTACAATATTTCTCACATATTTAAAAATTCTTGGGTAACTGTTCTGTATCAGTATCATAAAATAACTTGTAATTTTTGTTTATATCTAACTATCTTGCATAATTTTATGTAATGCCTTCCCTACCAATTATTGTGCTTGATTCAGTTGTGTTGCTACTGCCAGTATGTTGACTGGGATTCATATGTCTTGAAGGGGGATGCTGACTTAACAATTTTAAATCTTTTTCTGTCCTTTTTGGTTTTTTTGAATTAGAAAGTAACTGGTTTCATGTCTTTCATAATACAGCATTTCTTTTATTTTTTTATCAGTGCATAAGGTATCACAAATAAGGCAAATTATTGTAAATTGACTGATTGATATTTTTATTGTGTTAGTGTTCAAGCAATCTTGATTATTCTTATTTTACATTTTATCCAAAAAATTACATGTTTGAAAAACAAAACTTTAAAATAATGTATTGTTTGAATTTAAAGAAAGTTTTTTCCCCTTAAAAGTTCATTTAAAAAACTTTAAAACTCTTTAAAAACTTTTAGGAATTCGTGTTTGAAACTTTAAATAAAAAAATATTAGGATACTAATTCAGAAGTCAAACAACAAAAATCAGCGTTATACCTACAAAATTTTCACAGGACTAGTTTCGATGGTTTTACCGAACCATCGAAACTAGTCCTGTGAAAATTTTGTAGGTATAACGCTGATTTTTGTTGTTTGACTTCTGAATTAGTATTTATTCGGCGTGTTATTGTGTCTTAAATATTAGGATATTTATAATTTGTTACTTATGCATTAATTTTTACATGAAGCCAAAGCATATTTACTGTGACTTATATTAAAGTACAGTATACAGATCATATAATTTTTTTTCCTTGTGAAAACACTTTATCATAAGAAATAAAATATATCATAATCATATAATAAATCAATCATCATAAAAAATATATTGTTGTAATGAGCCTTAGCTGTATTAAAAATTTTTTTAAATTTCTAGCAGCAGTTTACTTTATTAAATCATGCTGATGTCATTTGTCTGTTATTATTATCTATATTTTATCTATTATTGTCTGTATTTTATACCTTACAGTGAATTATTTTTATACCAATGATGTGCAGGTAAGAGCATTTTTTCCAAACTTGATGTTCTAGAAATAAAAGCCCTTTGCTCTAGGAATAAAGTAGTTTGTAATTGCATCTGCTATAAGATAACACAGATAACATTACAATATACGAGTCAACCAGAAGATATAATTATGTATCGGAATTAAGTATGGACCAAAAAACAATTTTCTATATGTTTATACATAGTATAAGCAGAGTAGCATCATTTGTAAATTTTTTTGTTGTTTGGATACTTCCTAGTGGTAGAACTAAAAAAAAAAAAAAAAAAAAAGATTTAAAGACTTAAAGGAATTTATGACTCTATAAAATATTTTATGTTTTATGTTTTAGTACTTTGATAATGATAAAAAAAAGTTAACTCAATTTTTATAGTGTAAACTAATGAAAATTATTTTTGTTCTGTTTCATGAAGTTTTCAATGCATGGAGATTATAATGAAAGTGAAAATTCAGATGATGGTTCGAAATATTCATATGAGGTATTCATTTATTTTATCCGTATCGTTATGAGTTTTGTTTCCCAACATGTAAATTTTCTGTTTTCTAATATTATGTAAGACTTTATTTTTAGAATTTTGTGATGTGTGGCAATAGTTATGTTAATCAATTGCCACATATAAATATTTTAATTTTCTACAAATCAGTTATTTTTTATTTAGTGTGTAAGTGCAGTTATCTTCCAAATTCAGATGTTCAGTTTTTTTTATACTTTTTAGTTACACTAAAACTCTATTATATATTATTAATTAATTATTATTATATTCCCCCAGTTAGTATCATATTTATTATTATTTCATTGATATAATTTAGTTGGTTACTAAATAAATATGTATATTTTACTAAATTTACATATAATTGTATGCATGGCAGCAAGTAGTATTATTAATGGAATGATTATTTTATATATAATAATAATGAAAAACAAAGTGTGTAAATAACGTTTTAGACAGAGATTGATATAAAAGTCACACATTTTCTTAATTCAATAAAGTCTTTTTCAAATTAATTTGATTTTGATGTTTACAGTTTACTGTTACTCTTAGCCAAAGGCTATTAACAAACTTGTTTCACAATCATGTTTTAGCTAATCATAATAATTTAAAATTTTAAATTTCAGAATTTTAAAATTGCTTAAGTTATAATTTACTTTAATCATACATCTTATAAATATGTATATATTTCTTATCTATGAAGCAGAACAACAGAGACAGAATATCAAAGCAATTTAGCATAACATGTATTTAGTGATTATATAAATGCAAATTAGAACTAGAACTTAATACATGAGAATTAAATTTTCAATAATAATCGTACACAGAACTAAAATGATGTAGAAAGGAATGTTAATTTCTTCAACAAATAATCTTGCTTTCTTGATAGATGTAAATCTGTTTTTATGTTGTAGAATCAGTTATTTCTATAACTATCAGAAATATCTGGGCTTTGCTTTATTGAATAATTCTCAGTATGTCTGATTTAAATTTAAGTGATTATTTTGAGTGCTTTTAAGGTTTGGTTCATTTAATTATAGCAAAGCACACTAGGGCTATCTGCCTAAGGGAAGGGATGCCTTCATGGAGGACTTTCTAAGAGAAACTGACTTGCATACATATCACACATGGGAAAAACCACGAAAATGCCCATGCAGCCAACCCGTTCGCGGGATTCAAACCTCGGACCGAACTACCAGTGTTCAGTAACTAACTTTACCACTCGGCCACTGGTGCGCCAGTGCTTTTAAGCTGTTTAAAAATTGCTTTTCTTTTTAGTCTATGCGATTTATACTTGTTTTTAAAATCATTTAAAATCCAGAGAAGCATATTAAGAAAGAATTTGTCTGAGACTGACAAGGTATCAAAAGAAACGTTAAATAAAATTTATTGTATGAAAAGTATAATGTATGAAATTTCAGGAAAGTTCACTCTCAATTTCATTCCAGTGTATTTTTTTTTAAATAATTTTTGAAGATGCTTCATTATTTGTTCTTTTTTATTGTATAAAACTTAATATTAGAGAAATGGTTTTGTTGACTGGATGGTTATTAGATGAATTTACTGACCTTCTAAGTGGCATGACTTTTTAAATCTGCTCATGGAGACCTATATTTAAACAAGATTAAATGCTAGATTTGTATAATTACTTATTTTAATCTTCATTTTCATACTATTCTATTCATTAAGATGGTGTATAATCATTAAAGAAAATATGAAAGCTGACTATTTTAAACAGCTAATATATGTAATGCAGAATGTAAGAGATGAGAAACGTAATTTGATCACTTATGAAAGCAATTGTGGCACACAGAGGATTAATAAATGACATTTATATTCTTCAACCACATATACAAAATTTTTATTCCACATTTTTATTTAATCAAGTTAATAAGTGCAATGAAGCTTAAAACTATTTATTAAAAACTAGTTCTTATTTTGCTTAAGTTATATCACTTTTTAAAAATAAAATTTATAATTTTTAGGAAACAGATTATGAAGAAGAAAAAGATCCTCATGGCCTAGACCCATATGATCTTGGAGATGGATCACAGTTATCTCCCATATATTCAGCTGATGAGTCTCCTGAGGTAACTATAAAATAATGCAGCGCATAATTGAAGTCTAAATTCATTAATCATTCTTAATTTTGTTGTTATAAATGACACAACTGAGATATCAAATGAAATTCTTAACACACTTTTAATTGCTTAGTACTATTAAAATTGTTATGCATAGTGTTATATATAAATTTTTATATTATATAAATTTATGTGTTATATATAAATTTACATTATGTATGGTGTTATATATAAATTTTTATGCACATATGATTATATATGGGCAATAAAGTTCAAAATATTTTTCATTGGTGTAAAGCAAGAGAAAATAATTTGGTAACATTATCACTTTTAGTTCTGGGAGCATTTCAGAGCAGTTCAAAGAGATGGGCATTCTAGTACACTAATGAAGAATTAGAACAGCAACTTTAGGCAGGACTGAAAAATGCAATCTCATTTTAGGTGCAGTTTTGTCTAATCTTAACCTTTTGAAGACGGGATGGCCATTATAGTGGCCATAGAGTCCTCTCTTTGAAAAGAGATGAGGATGTCCACTTTCGGGGCCATGTCCCTCATTTTCCAGGCTGAAAAGTGGGGTGAAATGTCAAATTTGAAGTCCCTGGGGTTTTAACCACTTATCTCTTTCAAAGGTCTTCCTTTTGGGACATAGATGCACCTCTCTGAGAATCCATTAAACTACACATAAGAATCTTTGTTGCAAATAGGAGGTAATTTTCTTAAAGGGGGAAGCATTTGGTTCAAGATTCCCCGTCCTTTGGTAGCTTTTACTGCTACCAAAGACCTGTCCTCAAAAGGTTAATTGATGGAATCATAGTATTAATGATTTTCTGGTAAGACAGAAAAAACTGTATGTGATGCTAATGTGTAATAGTAGGCAGTATTCAGCTTGTTGCTACTATCGGGTCATTGCTCAATAAGGTTAACATCTGATCAATAGAATTCAATGTTATTTGAAGGTTAATCCAATGTTATTTTTCTTATGAGTTTTAATTTTGTATTAAAGAAAATGACATGTTAAAATATATTCTATTTTTTCTCTTAAAACAGTTAGGTACTTCTTTATTATTATATCTTCTGTTATATAAAGAGTTTATAAACTCTTTTCAATGGACTGACTAAAATAGCAATTCTCCTCAAAGCTCTTTGCAATGTATCACCAAACTGCTAGTAGTCTTATCAGTGATTGCTTATAGTCCACTTGTTCACAAAAAGAGCTTTGAATAGGATAACCTGTTTGGTGTAATCTGTCATCAAGAGGACTTTTGGCACTTTTGAATAACAGAGGCTTATAAGGAAGTATCCAAATTTATTTCTCACATGTAGCCAGCTACCTTGGCCATGCATTTCATAGTGAGCTATGTATGTAATACTTATGTGATAAGAGTTTGTGTCAAAAAACACATAATTAAAAGTTTGCAGCATTCTAAATTTTTTACTTTTTAAATTCTTTCCTCTGCTTTTTTTTTTTTTTAATTTTTTACAAGGTTGTCTATTATCTGTCCAGTAGCTGCCAAATTTGAATTTTGATTTAGGTATGATTATTGAGTAGTTTGGAATATACTTTGAGTAATAAGTATACTAGTGTATATTTATAATACCTTATGTAGAATACCAATCTAATATAAGACATTATATTATGGAAGTGTAAAAGCTATTGTATGAATTAGTATCCTATTTCTATTTATAGGCCTTTGATATAAATTCCCTAGTTCAGCTAGGAATTAAAGGACCGTCTAAACTTGATGTTCCGTCCAAATCTTCAAAGCTTTTAATGAACAATGAAACCTCTCCATCGCTAAGTTTACGAAAGATGGGACAGCCATCATTTCTGTAAGTTGTATGCTGAAGCAAAATGTTTGAATTATAGTCTAATAGTAATATTCTGTGTTATATAAAATTATTTCATCATATATAACCTTGGATATTTTAACTTAAAAGCATTTTTAAAAATAACATTTTTGTTCAAGTTTTATTACGTTTAGTTTCTTAAAGTACTGCTGAAGAAAGGATTTTATATAAAGTTTTACAAGTTTTTATTTTAATTTCAAATTTTCCAATGAGTAGTTTGGAAGCAAGCTCAAACTCAAAATATGGAATCAAACTCAAAATATGGAGAGTAAAACCCTTACTGAACACAGGAAGTTAAGTCATTAAGGCATTGTGTATATAGGGAAATCATGTTCCACAAAGTTAACTTTCTGCTGAAAAAAATGGGTTCATATTAAGAAAGTATGTATTATTTATATAAATCCAAATATTTTAATTAAAAGAGGAAATGAAACAAGTGTTAATAAGTAGGTACATGATACAATTATTTTTTTGAATAGCTAATGGCTTCTTTTGTTTGGGACAATGCTGTATGCAACTCATTAAATGTTTCGTTGCAAGGAGTACAGCGATTTTCACTACTGCTCATAAAGTGTCCTCTTTTTTATTAATTTGGGCTAATCTCCATAACAGAATCATGGAATTCATTTAACTTCTTTTACGTTAAAGGCTTTTTATCTTCTTCTTTATCACTGTTTTCACCATCAGCTGGTGTAATAAGATCATCCAAATTTACATTTGTGATTTCAAGTCATCATTTTTGATAAATTCTTTGATTTTTTCTCCCTCCATACGTGGAAAACCCTTGCTGAATATTGTTTCTGCAATTTGTACGAATTCTTTGACTTCATTTTCAGTCAGTGGAAATCCTTTAAAATTATTGACAACTTTTGGCCAGAGTTGATTCCAGCAAGCATTCATTGTTCATGTAATCACTTATTCCCATTTGAGATTAATCATTTCTATGCAGTGTCTTATGTTGACTTGCTTCCAAAATGTAATTAGTATGTCATGCTTTCCTTCATCTAGTGCTTTATTTGCAGAGATATAAACATGCCTGACATAATAGGCTTTGAATGTTTTTATGATTGCTTGATCCATTGTTTTTATCAAGGAAGAGGTATTTGGCAAAATAAATAAAACATCTACATTTGGAATGCAATGTTGTGAGGACTTCAGCACTTTTGTGCCCTAGAATATTATCAAGAACTAGGAGAACTTTAACCAGGTTTTGCTGTTCTAAGTAGTAATGTTTGACTTTACTGAATGAACTTTCAAACCAGTCATTAAAGAGGGCTTTTGTTACCCAAGCTTTTCTATTCTGCTTCTGCACAATGGACAGCTGCTTAAAATTTTTTCTGTGCAATGCACAAGGCATTTTAGATTGATAAATGAGCAGATGTTTATATCTGAAGCTGCTTGATGAATTTTCACAAAAAAGCAAATTGAGTCTGCCCTTAAAAGCTTTAAAACCTGGGATAACCTTTTTGTGTCTTTGTGATGCTGGTTTGTTGTTCCATTCACTTATAAAATAGGCCCATATAATCTGCATTGGGGATGTAACCATTATCTTCAATTAATTAAAAAAAATTGAGGTCTGAGTTTTTTTGCTTCTTAATATATAGAACCAGCTTCTCCCTGAAGCTTTACATTGTGCAAATTAAAATGACAAAGCTTTCAAGCTAACCTTTGCTTGCTTGATAGTCAATTTTCTCTAAAGTTTGGCTGTTTTTTATCTAAAATGAAAGAAAACAAATCTAAAGCTTTGTTTCAAATAACAGCACAATCCACAACTGAATCTTTTTTTGTTTACTTGATTCTCAATCTAAACTATTAACATTTTACCATCTTTTCCAATTGAGGATTTCTTCTTGAAACGTGAGCTATCTTTGTCAAAGTATCATCTGAAGCTTTGACACTAAGCTGAATCTTATTTTCATTTTCCTGTATTGTTCTTATGTTTGATTCATTTATAGCTAGTTCCTTTGCAGGAAGTGGAAAACATTTAGCATTTTTCTGTTTAACTAAAATTTAAATTTTCTGAAGAGAATATCAAAACTTTGAATATTTTTGCTGCTTTAACATCTTTATTTTTCCTTTTAGATGTTATATTGAATTTTTAAAACAAAAGATCTAAAAAGGTCAAATGAGAAGAGAATTAATGCTTATAAACATGTGATTGCAGCACTAATGAAGTGAGTGAAATGATAGCCTCTTGGCCTGGGTCTTTTAGCGGGCGGACAGCACTAAAACAGGATTGCCGTATCTATGCATGAGTAGACAAATAAGGTTATGCTGTATACAATGATCAAGTTTTTCGATGTCACTAATAGAAATGTCTGAAATAAAATACAAAAGATACAGTTGCTTTTGAGCAGACTTATGAGTCGGTGGCTCCACATGCTGAAAATTTCTGTTCGGGAAAGTAAAACTTATTGTATAGCTGAAGTTTGTTAAAGAGTAAGGGCCTTATCATTTCTATCGACGTGCACGGCTAGGCGGGACATTTCCAAGAAACGAGATTCTCATAGCACTGCTTTAAACAGGAGGCTTCTGAGAAATGTTCCGGCTATGTGAAACATTTTGAAACTTTTCCGAAAATGTTCCATCTGGAGCCATGTTCCACGCATGTTCAACCAATCAGACAAAAGTTCTGCTTCTGATGGATCATGAGTAATTTTCAATATGACGATGGCTCTCATTGTGAAATCATGGACAGTGCAAATAGATGCTGATTCAATTGAAGAAATACGGAAAAAGCCATATATATATTGTTTTGTTGTAGTATAACTGTGTAAGTCATTTTTAAATGTTTATATATTCATTAAATTTATAATCGTGGAAATTTCAGAGTAGACAATATTTTATGATGTGCTATTTCTGATGATTTTGTTTACAAAATATTTGTCGCCAAAAGTTCGCCAAATTTGTTGTATTTCATGCTGATAGTGTGAAAAGAATGTTATTGTTATATAATAGAATTTTTAAAAATATGTTTGTATATGCACGACTTTACTTTTAAATAACTCTGCTAATTACTTAACTAAATTATTAATTAAATTTAAATTGCATAATCAGTGATTATGTTAAAATCAGCGAATATGTGTATTTATTAAAACATAGACTATGTAATAATGAGGATACACATTAAATTTGTATGCTATTATCTTCATGTTATTAATGAAATGCTTTTTAGATTATAAACACATTAAGAACTATATTTTTATTATAAATGCTCATATTGAAGCATTGGAAATTTATGGATTTATTATTATAAATGATGAAAAAATTTGAATATACATTCATTAATAAAAATCTTATTCATTATATTAATACTAATAAACATACATCAACAACTTCTAAACCATCGCATCTCTCTCGTTATGTGTAGGTGAATATGTGACTTATTAGATGTGTGTGTGTATATATATGTATATATATATATATGTATGAATACAAAAATGAACATTGCCAAAAAGTTTATTTGAAATTACTTCTAATTCACATAACGATTATGTAATTATCAGCAAAATGTAGTCATCATTTCTTTGCACATTATCATGGATATGGAATACACAGTTGAAAATAATTGAAGTGCATTTTGTGCATTAGGCTAGTCATTAAAATTCACCCACTTACACACAACCTTTGCATTTGTAACTGTACCTGAGAATTTAAACAAAAAAAAATTGAGCAAGTAACTTTTATGAAATATTTAACATTTTGGAATAAAATGAAAATGTTTGACTCATCGCAAAACAAATATCTATAAATTGCATTATATCATGTACATAAAAGTTATTAAATAAATATATGGATACAAAAATAACTATTTACAATAATAAAATCAAATATATACAACCGATCATTCCAAAAAATAGGACTTCTCTTTGCATGCTTTTTTCTCTTTGGATTTTCTAATTACAAGGACATGTAGCAAATAACATGGATGTGGGATATCTTAATTTTCTGCAATATCATCAATGAAAAATATTTTAAAACATGAAACTAGATCTTATTTATAAAGCAAAAAATATTATAAAACTCGTGCATTATAATTTTAGTAATTTTAAAAACATTATGTGGTTTTCTCTTTTGGTTAATCACTTTTTTCTTAAAATAGTTGAGTTAGTAAATAATTCTCTAATATCTGACAATTATCTATTATACATTTTCTGCCAATTTTCTTTTCAGTGTATCACTTGCAGCATCTTCCATAACTTTTTATTGGACTCATAAATTTATTGCTTTTACTTTGTGTTTTGATGATGTCATAATCTGAGGTCATTGGGGCATCTTAAATTTAAGTTCATAATTCAAGAAATTGAGGGGGAAGGGGACATGCACTGAATTTTAAAATAAACTTGATTGATGGCAAGATAGCAACAAAACAAATGAAACTGCTTTGGTACCAATGTAACAAGTCAGCATTCAATAGTGGCTTATTGTTTGTTACAAGTTGGGCAGATAGGTAGCAATAATATGACTACAAATAGTTTAAGAAGAATGTGATGAATTTTTTTAAAAAGGCAGTATCATAGTTTCTGAATCAAGTCTGTGTTTTAAATATGCCTCTGATCTAGAACTAAATTATTATTCAGAAATGCTTAAATACTATTTTCCATAATATATTCTTGATATAGTGAGAACTGGAAATTTAATTCCTTGATTTATTTAACTGTTAAAGTATTTAAATTTGATTGCAAAATTGGAATTTTTTTGTAGTTTCCTTAATATTTAATAGTCTTAACATAGTTAAGAAATTGTCTTTTATAATAATTGGTACTTCCTAATCATCCACGCATCTGATTTCATCTTCTTATGGAACTGTTGTTCTTTTAAGCATATTTCAATTTGCATACGACAACAGTCAAATCATGCATGTGCATACCTCACTTTTGTTTGAATAAACATGAATACACATGCTTTAGGTGTAAAGAAAGAGATTGGTTCGAAGAAATCTTGAAGGCCACAGCTGTATCCAACAATTGTAAAGATATATATGTCAGCTACATGAAGTTTTGTTTTCTCTAATAAAATAATTTTTTTTTCTTTAAAGTGCTTCTTTATTGTTATTTATGAATAGATTAAAAACCATGAACTGTAAAAATAGTCACATAAATTCTTTACAAGTCACAAAATCGCCAGTTAGTTGGCAATTCATGGGGATGCAGATAATTAGGAAACATTGAATATTATAATTATTATTTTTTTCATTTTTAATTATGTTTTCTGAAATCATGGTAACTTTGAGAGATAATCCTTTTAGGGAGATGGTTGCAACCATGGCAGGCTTTACTGTATTTAATGAATGCTTTTATTTGGTATAATGTGAGCATACTTTTTTTTAGGAAACCTTTGCAATCAACAGCAAAAAAGAAAACTGAAAAAAATTCAAAAAGTGTGAAAAAAGGAAATGCTGGTATAAGTAAATATGAAGAAAATCCGAGAGATATTGGAGATATTGAAAGTAAAATATCCACTATAAATGAAGAGCAGAAGGTAATTTTAGAGAGTATCCAAAGAGAGTGGGCAGCTATGCAAGAGGAATTAGAAAAAGAAGAAAAAGCCAAATATGAGCAAATGGTCAATGAGAGTACTAAAAAATTAGAAGAGGAAGAAATGAAAATGAGGTATGTATATAAGATGCTTATAGCTTTTTCATTTAATTTTGTAGAGCCATCAATTTTTTTGGTGTTACGATATGTGAGAAATCAGCTATTACCCTCCCCATGATTCAAAGTGCAGATCATCTGATTATCAGATCAGCTACCAAGTATGCTATGAGTACACTCATGGGGAAAAGCAGTTATTCCTTATATTTTACTGCATTTAAAAGGCAACTCAGGAGAGAGGAACAAGATCCAGTGAACTTAATCCAGGTCATGAGAATTATCATTCACTAAATTTGATTGTCACTGTAAAGATGATTAGATTTTCAGAACTGGGAAACATCTGTGTCCTCGCTGGGATTAAAATCGCAAATCATCTGATTGTTAGTCAGGTGTATTATCTGTTATACCATTAGAGCAGGGCTTCGTAAACTGTTTTTAGTCGTGACCCCTTTTTATCAGTGAGATTTTTCCGTGACCCCAGGACCCCATAATATTTGCGAAAATTTTGTGGGACCCCATAAGCATTGTGCAAACCTGACACATGGGTGAGTGAAACTATTAATATTTTCACTTGTAATGTACTACTGCAGTTTTAGGTCATTAACTTTAATTTCTAATTTTAAGACGTAGAACAATGGGAAAATTTTAAATAAATAACAGACGAAATGACAGCATCATGTGCAAAGCAAGTAAAATGAACGTTTATATTATAAAAAGAATGCATCAAAACGGTTTTTTTTTTTTTTTTTAGTCTGTATTATCTTTATCTATTTTCAGATACATTGCGTAAAACTTTTTTGTAATTGTATTATTATTATGATAAGTTAAAGAAATATCAAAACTGCTAAAATTTTACCCCCTGCTGCAGGTCCCGCCACCCCCATGGACGTCACGACGTACAGTTTAAGAAACTCTGCATTAGAGCAAGCATGGAGGAAAATGATAATTCCTTATAAGTCTGTAATATTGTTGCATGCTCTCAATTCAGACACATCTCTTTAAATAACTATGCCATATGATGAGGAAGAACTTGAAATTTTATTCCTGATTAGGATAAATAATGGTCTGCTCAGGTAAGACAATCAATTAAGATAGCCCAAGGAAAATACAAAGGTTAAGCTAAAATTCTTTTTAACTTGTGAGAAATATCACAAATCATAAAATCGCTTACAGAGCAAAGTAAGATGCAGTAAGTTGAGAAGCACAACAATCTGTTACACACCAAAACAGACTACACTGAAATAATTCAGCTACAGTATAGGTTCATACTTATACCTTTCTTTGTTCAAGGATGTTGGAAGACACAACTGGAATCTCTGGGAAAAATCAATTCTAGGGCTTGAAACATGCATTTTTAAAAAAAATTTCCAGAATATTGCCAGATTGGTGACAAAAATTGTCATTAAAATAAGCCTTTGCAGAATGTGATTTCACATAAATACATCATCTTAATTATTTCCATTTAATTTGTCCAACACTAAAATTTCACATTTGTGATTCATTTATTAACAACCTTGAATGTTGCTGACATCAGATCTGGCCAGAAATTATCAATAAAGAGGCAGTTATCACTTAAAGAGTTTCCATCAATTGAAATAGATGCTAAAGAAGTCATACAAGTTACAAAAGCAGTTGATAGGGAAGGAATTTTGGATATTGAAGAACAAGAAGTCAAACAATTAATCAAGGAATAAGGAATGAGGAATTGGATGTTCTTATAACCAGCTGACAAGATGATAAAGCATCTTTAATTTACAAGAAGCTATAAACAAAGTATTAAAAAAAAGCATAGGAACTGTCTGATTCTACAATGTAGATTAATCTAAATTAAGAAAGATGACAATACTTAATGAGTTGCATAAAGAAATCTGCATCCCTTACCATGAAGCTTTAAATGAGCTGGGTTAGTCAGTGCCCTAAGCAAAACTCACCAGATTGGAAAAAAAAAAAAAAAAAAAAAAATCTTATGAGATTCTTATTAAACTGTAATAAAAATCCTTTCAATTAACATGTTCCCCTCTTAATTAAAATGATATTTAGGTTTGTTTAAATGTAACTATTTCCTTAATCTGAATTATACCTAACATGTATTTCCTATAAGAAGTTAACTTTATGGAACACAATTTTACCATACATGCAAGGAGTTAATGACATAAACTGTACATTCAGCAAGGGTTTGGTGTAGGACCGGTATGGGATATTTGTTTATATACCTGGTGTTAAATGAGTTCTCTTTACAATGTCAACACCAGTGAACTCAAAAGGTATTCAAAATTATACATGATAGCCATAAATTTAGAATTTCATGAAAATAAAATGCGCAAGTGATCATAAAGTTTACCATGTAAATTGAAATAAACAAGTAAAAAAAAAAAAAAAAATAAATAAATAAATAAAATGCCTATCATTAAGTTGACTTTTAATTTTATTAATTTATAAAATAAAAATTTATATAAATACCAAATTATCAACACATGAACCTGAATATTTGCATTAATTACAGCATTATTTCATTTGCAAAAATGATACTTGTGATGTTGGGAAAAATCGTGTGTAATTTAATATTTAAAAAATCAAGGTTATACATGCTAGAACATGCAACCAATTGTTAAAATTGCTGCATTGCTGTATTTGTCTTTACTTCTGAATGATAATTTACAGTTGTTACATTGTGTTTAATTTCAGTTTAAATTAGTTTGAATAAAAAAAAAAAAACCTTTTATATGGGCATAGAAGGGAATTTTAACTTCTTTGTGGAATATATTCTGAGTATATATATTTTAATCTTTTTAACTTTAAATAGTACCAAATTTTTTAGATTAATTTCTTTTGATTGTACAGAGAATTAAATTTGTTCTCATTTTACCACATTCAAATTAAGTTATTACCATTCAGCATGAAAGATGTAGTAGTGCAATGAAATATTTCTCTGACTTTATTCATTTTCATACTTACTTAGGAAGTTAATGAGAAATGTAAGAATTTTGTATAATTAGTGACTTTTAAAAGTTTAGCTTAAATTTCTGATCTCTTTCTGGTATTTTTTTATCAGTTTCTGTAAGAAGTACCATAGTTAAAAGTTGGGTGAGATAATAAATGATTTTATCTACTTTTGGCATAGAATTTTATAGTAAAAGTTCAAAACAAATCAAAAGAAATCAAAATCAAAAGAACCAAAAGAATTACTGAGATTTTATTTTATATCTCAGTTTTAAATTTTATTAATTGATGAACTTGATTTATTGAACTACAACTGGCAAAAACATGAACATATATGAATTGCTGTTTTCATTTAAATTTTAACTTATTTTGTAAAATCATTTGTAATAACTTTTTTTAAAAATCTGATTTGATTTATGTATTTAGTGTTAAGGAAATTTTGTATATTTTATCATGTGCTTATAACCAAATTTTAACAAACTTATACACCAGTTAAAATAATATAAATTTATTTATTTTCAATATTATTTAAAATATTAATCCAGTTTCAAAATAATTATAACATTTGTATAAACATTTTAAGGAAAGAAAATTCAGCAAAATTATCTGAATTAAAGAATGAACTTTCAAAAAAACTGAAAGATGAAGAAAATGTTAGTGAAAAGAACCTTGAGGAACTTAAGAGGGCCAACCAGGTAAAGTACAGTGAAGAGGAGCAGAAGTTTAAAAAGGAACTTGAAACCCTTTCTGAGAGCTTGAAAGCAGAAATGGAGAAAATGGAAGAAAAAGTGAGGTTATTTTTTATTATAGTTCGACCGTCTCAAGCGAAATCCTGGTTGGCATTCTGCCAAAACACATAGACTCGTCCAAAAGGGGCGGTATTACTTGCTGCGACGTGAAAGGTCTTCTCTTCTCTGGAAAGAGCTATGTTGGAGGGAAAGAAAGTTCTCATCCTTCCACCCTATTTTGAGAATGATTCGGTCTGAATGGCTCATGCGTGTTTGCATTCATGGTCGCGGATGAGGCGGTCGAACTATACTTATTTTTAATCATTGTAAATATACTATTTTATATTTTATTGGTCTTGCTAGCTCACAGAAAAGATATAGTTTGCTTTTAGTGCTTAAACTCGGAGGATGTTTTCAATCCAGCTGTTAAAATATTTGAAAATGTCATTGTTACTGTTAAAATTTGAAAATGTTAATAACAATAATGAAATAACATTTGAAAATGTTAAAATAAATTTTACTGTTAAAATTTGAAATTTGAAAATGTTAAAATATTTATTTGAACCTCAAAGGTTTGTGGTTCAAAACTAGTTGACAGGAACTATGATTCACACAACTTTTGCAGATAGATGGTGCCACTATCATAAACGGCCATAAATGTCTAACATAAATGCTAGTTTTCATAGCTAACAAAAATCCTTGCTACAAAAGAATTTTTGCAAATTAGCAGTTTTAATGCCATCGCTATCCCTGGAATTCCTTTTTGATGTGTCATCCAGTGAATGTAAAAACAAGTGACTAATAAAACATTCTAAGGTCATTACTTTCATTATTGAATAGTCCCCTCAGTTTATTGAAATTCACTGATGTGCACTGATGAAAACTTTCAATCATTATATGGCTTATAAATTTTTTAGTAAGAGGTTAGTAAATTAATTTTTGTACTGATTAATGTCTATAGATTTAAAATTAAATTTATTAAAATTGAATGTGTGATTGAAGAGGAGGAAAAAGGTAAGATTCCAAAAATATGATGAATAAGCCATTTGACCAGTATTGGCTCAATCTCTATATATGTAGAGTATGAAATAAATAAATAAAATCTCTCTCTCAGTTCATTTAATAGTGCAATAGTCTTTCCATCATTAAGTGGGAAAATAATAATATTCAGGGAATATTATCTTCATTTCATTCATTGCCAACAAATATTAGTGTCTTTAACAGCTGTAAAATCAGTTTATATTGCAGTTTTGTGAAATTAGTATAAAGCTTAAAACTTATTATTATTCATTTTCAAAAGCTATCTACAAATTGTCTGGTAAATTAATTTTCATGTACATAAACTATGGTTTTAATATTCACAGTCTTGGAAAAGAAACATTAGTATTCTCCACATACATAAAAGGAGATGCTCAGAGAGGCCCTAATAAATTCCATACATTGGTTTAAATTTTCTCTCTTAACATACGCCTGAAGAAGTGAAAATCTTGCAGTCTTTAGTGCTGCCTTCATGGGACAAAACTAAAATCACGCTTTAACTAGATTGTTTTCTGCACTTAGCATAAATGGCAGATTTCAAGTGATCCACCAATATTTTCCCATCCACGAGCATAGTTTCTTACAATGCGACAGAAATTTCTTAGTTCTTCAAGAAAATCTGTTAAGTTTCATGTGACAGTATTATTACAATAGTATTGTTATGAATTATATATATATGTGAATAATTTTAGTGAAATTATATGTGAAATCATGATATCTTATGCATAATGTAGTATGAAATGTCTTAAGAGGCGAAGTTCTGCTGGAAAATAAGATTGCAGAGGCAAGGCTATTTAATATTAAGGTAAATGGCCATCTCCCTAAATTGGTGAGATATCACCAAACTGCCGATGATTTTGGTGACTAATTTCTGTTACCAAGTTTGGTGAGAAATCACCAAATGATTGCCAAGTTTGGTGCAATTTGTTCTGGAGCTCATGTAACTGCAATAATTGATCTCTATATTTAACTTTATCTAGCCCTTTTTTGTAACTTTAACTGTATATGCTTTCCAGTTATTTCAAGAAATGGAAAGTAATGGAGATTTCCTGGGGCCATGGGAAAACTATGTAAGACTGGAGAGAGCTTCAGTTCTCAAATTTTAGTTCATAGCTGATTTTGAAGAGCTTTGCACTGTGTTTGGATGCATTTTGCATTGTTTAGATGCGCTTTGCACTGTGTTTTGCTTAATGTTCTTGGTAGTTTGAAGTGATAACTACTGATTGTGCTGTTTGATACTGAGAAGAGTTGTATGTGTATTATTATGGAAAGTTCCAGAACTGTAAAGTGTTTCTTTTGGTAAAATAAATTTTATCAGGCTATCATCGATGCTGTGTGCATTCGATCCATTGTGAATCTGTGTGCATGCGACAATATTATTTGGTCATCTAAGAAACAAAACCCACATTTCCAAGTAAAGAATCTAACAAATGATGACATACTTAATTTCAAAGGTTGGTGGCCACAATAATTTAAGAAGACCGCCAGGGATTTTGAAAAAGAAGGTTCTGTGACCTACAGTTTAAGAAACCCTGATATAGCTGATTGATAGTTTTACATATTTATTTATTTTTGTATGATGAAAACTTTGATTTCATTTATTAAATAAAAAATTGTTTTAATACAATGCCTTGATATAACTACCACACCTTGTTATACTAAATAGTTTCTCTGTACTCATTTTCAGTTTCTTCGAGTAATGCAACAAACTCAATGATTCAGAACTGATAAAGTTTATTATTTTAGTTATTGTTTGTATAATCTTATCCATCTGCAAACTTTTAGCACCATATTTGTGACAAATAAATGTGACCCATAGGCTGTCCGCGTTGACCCAACCCAAGCGAAGATTGATTCTATTCCGGTAATTTAATAGTCTGTTGAAAATTAGAATCAGAAATACCCCAGATTAGTAAGTCTTTCTTTTCCTTTATTTAGTTGTTCTTTCTCCGAATACCGACAGGTGTTGATTCCAATTGCGTAATATCACATATGGAAGAATAACGCCGCACGTATGCGCAAAACGTTGCGGGTATTTTGCATTGATAATAATTTTGATGTTCAGTTTGAGATTTGTTATGAACACTTAAAAGAGTTTTACTGTGCTTTCTAAGCAGAATATTTCTCAGTTCCGTTAGTTTTTGTATGTGCACATATCGAAATGTCAAAATCATTTATTTAGCCTAAATTTAAATCTAAAGAACGGCTACAATCTCCCCCACTCCTCTTTTTCCAGTTATATCCGGAAAATCGGGGAATTTCCGAGAGTATGCTGGTTAGTTAAGCTTTTACTGTAAAGGATGACTGAATTGAAGCAATTCCGTCTTCTGATTTCAGAAATGTGCCTCTTTTTTCTTAAATTACTTTGCTTGGGAGATATGTTAAGGGAAAACTGTATGCAATGAAAATTTAGAAAATGTTCAGAATTTTGATTTACGTTAAATTTTAAATATTAATATGAGTGGAAAAAATAAATTGTATTATTATTAGGTGCCAAAACGAATACAATTAATATGGCTTATTATTATTATTTTCTATATTTTCAACTGAAATATCATCCATTAAAATTTGTATATAGTTTAGTTATGCATAGTTTTTTTTTCCTCTATTGTAAACTAATTCGTAAATTGAACGTCATTTTAAATTAAAAAAAAAGTTAATTGTTTTCCATTTGAGGTAATGCTCATTCTCTTAATAAATATTGCATGCTCATTTTTAAATTACAGTCTAATTTTTTTTAGGTTATGCAGTTGTGTATAATGTAATTGACAGGTGCTTGATTTTTTCCTTAAAATGTGCTTGAAAAGTGCTTATAGGTGCTTATTTTAACTAAAATGTGGCTATGAACCATGTTATCTTTGTAATTTTAGGCAGTAAAAAATGTTTTTAAAAATGTATGTTTAGAAATTGAAATGTCAAGTTAAATTTTGGGAAAAAAGAATTTTTTCTATGCACATACATTTAGTAAACAGTAAAATAAATAAGAAAGTCAAAATAGTGCAGCAGTAAAAATTATAAGTCTTAACCTAAGATTATAATATTAAAAACGATACATATTTAGGGAGTTTCAGGTTTTATTTTTGTTTCTAGAAATTCATTATACTGTACATGTATGATTTTAAAGTTTAGCTTAATCAGTGTTTTTAGAATTACATGTCTTAAACTTGAAGTCTAATTACTTATCTTGTTGTTATGTGCAATTTTGTATGATAGAATTTCTGCAGCAATAAAACCTTTTTTTTTTTTTTTTTAAACTGTTTCTGCACAAGAAATTATTTTATGCAAGTTGTTCTATAGTCCTTTAATTTAAATGTATCTGTGTGTGTTTTCAAATAAAAATTCTGTTGAATTATAATTTTAGATAACCTTAATAAGTGATTCCAAAATAATTAAAAATTTTACGGATAAATAATAAAATTTTTGTATCAAACAATTAAACCATTAAGATAAAAAAATTGAGATTTCAACAATCATTTAAGTAAACTAAATGTGTTGATAAAGTAATTGATGAAATTTTCACATGAAACAAGTAAATCAGTAAATTGTAAAAAATGATTACCATTTAATATTTCATTTTAAATATATTTCTTGTATTCCTGTTTTAGTAATCATTCCTGTTTAGTTTTTTCTTAAAAAAAAAAAAAAAAAAAAAAAACTGAGTGTTGGTATTAACATCCTTGAATTAATGTAAAATTCTTCTGAATTCTGCTAATAAATTGCTTCTGAATGTATACTGCATATATGTAGATTAAATGTGTATATATATATATTGATTATTTTTTATTACAATCTCATGTTGTATTTTAAGATTTTCTTTAAACCCGTCAGTTTTTAATGTGTTACCTTCATTCACTTTTTTTTTGTTTTTTTGTTTTTATAACCATTTCCCAGACATAGAAATAGGTAGACCTTTATAATTTTTGGAACTAAATTTATATTTAATTTACATTCCAACCTTTAACTGCATTATGAGTTAGATATATATTTTGAATATATATGAATTCTTTTGATACTCATTTTAATTATGCATGTATTTATGTATTTCAGTTGAAGATAAATTAGATTAAATTTAGATTTCTCTTTTAATATTTTTATTTTAAGAACACTTCAGAGATTAATGAAAGAAGGAAGGAATTAGAAGATCAGCTGGAAACAGAAACTGAGGAACTCAAAAGATTGCATGAAATTAATCTAAAAAATCTCAAAGAATCTCAGGCTGCTGAACTTTCTATGCTTGAAAAGGCTCACCAAGAAGAACTGATAAAAATTAAAGCTGCTGTTTCAAAAGAAAGCACTGAAGTTAGCATTGAAGTAATTATTAAAACTGTTTTATTATTTGGATATGGTATAGTTTGGAATATACAAATCTGTAATGTATCTGGTCTATTAATACTGTAAAACTTCTAATAGTTACTATATTTCTTAAATAACCACTCTGAAAATAACTAGTATTTCCAAGAACATAAATAAACTTTAGTATTGAGTATCATTGATGGTTATCTTTTTCAAATGGACCATCTCGGGAGAAACCCAAAATGCTTTCGGAACCTTGGATCCTTAAGGTCTTAAAATGATTATACTGAGCGCCGCCTGAGATAACCACTGACCTGACTTTGTTGTAAAAGTCTTACAGTGTTAGTAGTCATCCTGGCAGAAGGGAATAAAAAATCCTCCGTGTAAAAATATACATATAAATATTACATGGGCATACAAGGCCTGTGTATAAGCATAGATATGTTGATTACAATCATTGTCTTGTACAAGTTACATATGATAGATACATAAAATCATGACAGCTATGTGTACATTTAGACATTATATGAATTCATATTTACAATACTTTTACTGAGATAATCAAAATTAAACTTGTAATTCATTTACACATTGACTGGATTTTCAATATCATTTAAACTGCTTTACAATATTATTTTTATCAAGTACATATAAACTGGATAGTAATATGCTTACATTACAATAGTTTTGCTCTTACAGTCCTGTTATTATTCTACGGGGTGAGCTATTTTCCTAGTGTTGATATTCAGTTGTTGTAGTATTTTGAATTGCTATTAAAATTATGCTGCGAAGATACAATTCTCAAGAGAGGGGGAGAATTTCTTAGTATCTTGCTGAGCAAAGCCTGATTACCTCCTCTATTTTAGTTTTCGTCTGCTTGTTGCCGCGGGTATTCTACGCCCATTGCGGCCAGTATTTACTGCTTGGCATTTTTAAATGCAGTTTATTGGTTTGTGGGCAGTTGAAGAGGAAGTGATCTGCATCACCTACCGCACCACATTCACACAAATCTGATGCTCGTATGCCGAATCTCTTAAGGTAATGTGGGAAGGGACCATGGCCAGTGTAGAATTGAGTTTGTGCTCCGCTGTATGTATTAACTGAGCACGTGACTTTTGGAAAGAACTTGTAGGTTCTCCTCCCTGTGCTTTCCCTTTCCCATCTTTTCTGCCATTCTTGAAAAAGGCTATTGAGCGTGGTTTTTTTTTAAATAGGACTGCGGAACACTTACTGCGTTTTCCAATCTACTGGAGTCATTGGCAGCCGATTTCGCAAGCAGGTCCGCCGCTTCATTGCCAGTAATACCCACATGAGCTGGAACCCAGATCAGGATAGGTCTGTCATCTGGTGGGATACTTAGAAGAATTTTCTGAATATCTTGCACCAAAGGACTCCTTGTCTTGTGCCCTCGGATGGACTCCAAACTTGAGGCAGAGTCGCTATATATGCTGACCTTTAATCCTAATTGATATTTTGCCAAATTGATGGCTGCTTTTAATGCAAGAAGCTCTGCCTGAAAGACGGTATTTTTGTCTGCCAGTCGTCTTTCCCAAGTTTTAACCACTTCTCCTTCTTGGAGTACACAGTAGGCGCAGCCTGTGCCTTTTTCCGTCTTTGAGCCATCTGTATAAATAGCAAATGCCTTCTCATTTGGCGGCGTGTATTGCATGTATATTGTGTGCGATAAATCAGTATCTGCAGGGTGTCCAAGCATGATCGGCTTGCGCTTCTCATAGTCTGTATGGTAGAATGTCTTTTGCCACAGAGAGACGTTATTTTCTAGGCGCAATGTCCTTACTAATAGTGATTCTCTCTCCACTAGAAGGTCCAGTGGAGGGATACCCGCCAGCACTTGCAGTGCCGCAGTTGGGGATGTTCTATAACCTTTGCATATGATCAAAAGTTGCATTCTTTGTATGGTGAGAAGCTGTCTTCTCATATGGGCAGTAAGCTTCCTTCCCCATATGGCAGCCCCATATAATATGATCTTTTCTGAGATTGTTCTGTACCAGCTTTTGAGCATAGTGATTGGAGTGCCCCAATGAGGTCCTGATGTTCTAACCATGGAATTACTAATTTGATTTATTTTCTGCTTAAGCTCTTTAATATGCGGTACCCAGGAAAGCCTATTGTTAAATATAATACCTAGATATTTAAGGTCAGTGACCTTTTTTATAGAGACTCCATTTAGCTTAATGTTGGGAATCCTATTTCGCGCTCCATGCTTACATATAAACAGTTGTTTAGTTTTATCTGCTGAGATATTTAATTTGTGCTGATTTGCCCAGCTTGCAAAAGTATTGATTGCGTTTTGTGCCTTTAACCTAATGTCCGTGCTACCAGAAATGACCAATAAAAAGTCGTCTGCGTACGCCTGGATACCCACTCCTTGCTGTTGGTCATAGAGCGCAAAGGCTGTGTTCGCTACAAGATTCCAAAGTGTAGGTCCCAAGCAGGAACCCTGGGGACAGCCTCTTTCCAGACTTTGAGTACATCATTGTCTGTTGTAACCTGTATCCAACGATCCTGCAAGTAGCTGCGTATAAGATTCAGGATTTCCTTTGGGCATTTGATGATGTCTAGGCATTCGACTACATCTGGCCACCACAACGAGTCGAATGCCCCTTTGATGTCCAACGAAATAACCACTGTGTCTAAATTGTTGTCTTTGTTTTGCTCTGTTATCTAGCAGTTGTTTTAAGGCATTATCTGTGGACTTTCCTGCGCAGAAGCCATATTGTTTTTCGTTTATAGACTTGTTCCTGCACATGTGGAAATTAAGGCGTTGCAAAATTACTTTTTCTAAAATCTTACTGATTGAAGGCAGTAAGCTTATGGGCCTATAAGATGCCGGGTCTGACGGATCTTTGCCCTGCTTGTGGAAGAGTGCAATTTCGGCTAGTTTCATGCTTCTAGGGAAGTGACCGAGTCGCCAGCAGGCTCTGCATAATTTTGGAAACAAACCTGGGAATTCTTTGTGAATTTCTTTAACAATGATATTATCTATACCATCGGGACCTGGTGCTTTTTTGTCTGCTAAGGCTTTGATGATATTATGAACTTCGTGGTCTGTAGGAAGAGTAATATCTCTGTTGCTGCTTTTCCAGCTTTTCCTATTAAACTTCTGCCTTATTTCTCTGTGAGTTACTAAATCAAATTCCATCTGGTCTTTAACAAAGATTGTTTCTAGGATAGTGTTTAGAGCTTCTGTTTTGCTTTTTGCATCTTGTTTTACTTTAGCGGTAAGTTGTAGGGGTTGAAAAACCTTATTTGTGGCTATTTTCTGTAATGTACCATAGGTTGCTTGCACGTTACTGCAGTGCTTACGCCATGACTCTTGTTTCGCTGCCTTGATTTGCTTTTTGTATTGCGCTAGCTCCTTCCTGTAGCGTACCAACTTTAATATTTTCTGTTCTTCATCATTCTCCGCTTGCACCTGCCTTCTTAGGGCTCGTATTTTGCTTCTTCTTTGCTTGAGGTGGTTGCTCCACCACGATGTAAATGTTTTCGGCTTAATAGCTTTAAGTTTTGTAGGAAGCTCTTGCTGCCTGAGTTAATTTAGTTATGATGAAGTCATATGTAGAATCCAGCTCCTCCGGGGAGTCGCAGTTATCCAGTTGTTCCAAGATTTCACTCACCCATGGCCTGAAGTAAAACTTTAAAGTAGTGTGCCCTCCGTAGCAGGTCTTGAAACGTCTTTTTGTTAGGTACGTGAGTCTACTATTGATCTCATATTGAATTATACGATGGTCACTCAGAGAGGGTATGTCCATTATATCCCAGTTGTTTATGTACGCTGACATTGATGATGAGACAAATGTGACATCTGGCCAGCCTTTTGCTCTTCCATTGTCAAATGTAGGTTGAGAGTCTTCTTTATTTATTACTGTCATTCCGTGAGCTATTGCATATTCTAACAATTTCTGCGCTCTGCGATTTTCTGTTTGTGCTCCCCATAAGGGGCTGGTGGCGTTAAAGTCACCAGCCACTATGGTATTCTGGAATGTTCGCAGTACGGCTGGGTTTAATTCCTGTAGCAGGCATTCAATTTGCATGCTTGGGGGAAGTAAACGCAAGTGATTGTTATTTTCATGTTGGAGGATTCAATCAAGATTGTTACTGTGTAATCTGTCGTATCCAGAAGCAATGGACTTAGAGGGCCGTTATACAGAATGGCTGCCATTCCCGTACTGGAGGCGTAGGATTTACTTGTAGAAGGTTGGCCAAGAAGTTTGCCGTCCCTCAAGTAAGGTTCTTGTAGGATTGCCAGGTCTGCTGTACTGGAGGACATCACCTCCATGAAATTGAGTGTGGCTGCTCTTGCCCTTTGGAAATTGCACTGTAAAATTTTGATGTTAGACCGATCTTTGTTGTAAACTTTCTCTGTTATTGAGTGAACTCCCTGGCTGAGCTCATTCTCGCCAATACTTGTCTGTAACATGGACATTTCGATGATGCACTTGCTGGATGTTGTGTGTCAAAGGTGCTACCTGTCTTCTCGTTCGCGAGGCTGCAGTTGACACAGTTGATGGTAACTGAGTCACACTTTTCTAACAGGTGACCTTTACCACACTTGGAGCAGGCTGTATCCGACTTGCAGTAACGTCTAAAGTGCCCAAATTTTTGACAGTTGTAACACCGTATCACTTGGAGATATTCTTTGAAATTGCAGGCGCAAAGTCCAATGTAGATTCTTTTCTTTTCTAATAACTCTTCAGCCTGTTCCGTTGCAACACCCACTAGCCAATGGCAGGTGTTATCCTCCTTTGGGTAGGAACGAATAGGGAATATAAACTCTTTCGTGTTACTTGGGAACAAGTTGGAGAAGGCCTCTGTGATATCTGTAGCTGTACTGTCCTGTGGCACTCCAAAGACTATTATGGTACGCCTAGGTGGTCTGGGTACTCTTACACTTAATGAGTGATCTAATTCCGGAATTTCACTGATGGCGGTCCTGAGTTTGTCCAGGTCTGTCTTCTCTCTACACCTGATGAGTAGTTCCTGCGAGCGCGTAGGCCTTACTTGGACGACGTTAATCCCCACTTTATTAGGCTTAATGCTACTCACTAGCTGCTTCTGAACACTTTCAGTAGTGTGACTCGTGTCTTTACTCTTAATAAGGAGAACGTGGTCAGGAAGCTTTGTGGCTGGAGAAACTTGTTTTAGTCTTCTGCGTCTATTAACCACAACGGTAAAGCCTTCGTTTGCTGCTACTTCTTTTTGCTGCTGCCTGTCCTCTACTTCCTGTGCTGGTGAAGTTGCTGCTACTACCACGGTTCCTGCTACAGATGCTGCTTAAAGCTACATATGCTGCTACAGTTCCTGCTACACATGCTGCTTAAATAAATAATTTCTGCTTAAAGATGGATATTTTTATCATACATTTTATGAGAGAACTGATAGATTCACTTTGCTTACAGAGGAAGTCATGAAAATGTGGAGCAATTAGCCCTATAATTTCCCAATAATTAAATTTGGTCTGAGTTATAGATAGTTTTTGACTATAATGACTTGGTTCACTGATGGTTTTATTAAAATTTCTATGGTTTACGATATATTCATATAGAAATAATTGCCTTGAACTTAAAAAAGTTCAGTGCACACAAGTCTGTTAATTAATACATTTCAAAATTCCTTAAAATTAAGCATTTCTTTTCTATCAGAAGTAATAAAAAGTATGTTTAAACATAGTGATTACTGGCATTAATGAATTAAATATATGCCAGTAGTCACTGAAATTCTTTTATGATATTAACTGAGAAAATTAAAATTTTCTGCTATATTTCATGATGAGTTATGGACCCCCAGCAATATTGGTGGTGATATATATATATGACTAATTTGGAAATTCTTCAAGTGTGCAATAATATTATTCAGAAATTTCATGTTTTTATGAAAAGAACTAGATATTTTATAATGTAATTTTCATTAGGTAATTAAATATAATTATTCTATGATTTTTTCTTGTGTACACAAAAATATCTCTATTTCTTGTATGTATATTTGCAATCAGTATGGCCAAAGTGATGTATTTGAGAAGATAAATAAAAATATTATTTATTTTTTCTGTAGCTACTGTTAAATAACTACGTAGCACAGTACTTAAAAATGTGCAAAGTGCCTTTTAATCCGGAATATTTTTGTGTAAATATGCATTATAATTTTGACACATGAAAATAATGGTTTAAACTTTGCAAAACAGCAAAGCTAAGAAAAAAGGGCATAAGTAAATATTTTCTATAAGAATATAAAGGAATGTATATATGTTTTTGACCTTGTGGAAAAACAACAGTACCTAGAGTCATCAAATTTTTAGTAGCACAATCCTCTGCCTGAAAATGGGCACTTGGAAGCCTAAATTTGGAATTTGTTTTGTTGTAAAATTTTACTGAATTTTTTGATTAAAAAAACTCAACAGTTTCAAAGCAAGCAGTGGCAGCAGTGTAAGGAATAAAACATTCTTATCTCCTAAGCACGAAACTGTCTATTGGAAATTCTAAAGATATGCTATTTTAAAATATTTTTAGCCCAATGCGGTATTAGCACAAATGCTCTTGAAACATATATGTTTCTTTAAAAGCCCATTTGAGCGTCATATAAAATCTGAAAGCTTTCAGATTTATTTTTATTTTATTTATTTCTTTTTTTTTTGCGAAAAGGGAGAAAGAGATTTTGAAAGCAGTATCTAAATTCTAAAGATATGCTATTTTAAAATATTTTTAGCCCAATGCGGTATTAGCACAAATGCTCTTGAAACATATATGTTTCTTTAAAAGCCCATTTGAGCGTCATATAAAATCTGAAAGCTTTCAGATTTATTTTTATTTTATTTATTTCTTTTTTTTTGCAAAAAGGGAGAAAGAGATTTTGAAAGCAGTATCTCACTTAAGTACATGCTTCATGTATACACAATAAAATTTTTTTCATAATAAAGTATACAAAAAGTCCACCTCCATGCTGAAAAAACACAATCATTTTATGAGCTTAAATCTATATGATCAATAATTTGTTGGATCTACAGCCACATTTTTGCTTGGCATACATCTTAAACTAAAACATTCTACAAAATGCTCATCGCTGACTTTATACTTACTGAATAGCTGATATCAAACTAGCAATAATTTATATTTTTTTTTTGCATTCATCATCTCATGTTTATCAACTAATGGCAGCTTCAGAAATGACTCCGTGATATCCAAAATCTTTTTTTTTTTTTAAATATTACTGATTTGAATACCAAAAAACATGGTAAACTTTTATGTTGACATTATGCTGGGTGACCATTACAGACTTCAGCCATCTGCATTGCAAGTATTGAGAGAAAAAGAAATTTAACAGAACTTTCTTTCCTTATGCAAAAAAAAAAAAAAAAAAAAAAAAAAAAAAAAAAAAAAAAAGTTTTTATTTTTAAATGATATTTATAGGCCAAAAGATTACATTTAGTGCTGTTTGTATTAAGAATAACTGATTTGTTATTCAGGTAATAATTCAAGTATATGTGAGAATTTGATTAATTTGGGACTCTGATAAGCCTTATTGCATAGGCAGGAAGTAGATGTAATTATAATAACTAACTAATGTAATTCAGGTTATACTTTTGCAGCATGCGATAGAAGCATTACAAAAATTTAGTGAAACATGTCTTTAGTTGCCAATCTCATGATGCATCGCCAATAATGTGTAGCAGATACTAGCTGAGCATTAAGCTATGCCAAAATGAGATACTACCCCAAAACTGTAGTATGGCTGTAAATGTAGAAAATACTGCTACTGACAGTGAAGAAAAGTTCCAGAGAGGTTGCTGAGGAAGAAAAAATTTCGATTGACAAATTTATGGAAATTCCTAACTCAGCAACTACTGTCTTGGGTGACGGAACTTTGTAACTAAAGAAGAAATTATGTGAAACAACTTAAAACAACTTACACTAAAAGCAATGTCTAATAATGCAAGCAAATAAATATTGAGCTTTTTTTGTATATTTTGGTTCACTTAAGATTATAAATGTTTCATTGGTTCACAAACAATTATTTCTAATTTTTAATTTTATAATTTCTGCATGTGTTCTTACTAGATTTAACCTGATGATCTAAAATCTGAAAAATTCCGAAATCTGGAGTTGGCAAAGTCCCGATAAGTCCAGATCTCGGACTTTGTACTGTATGTGCTATATGCTTATATGCCGCGTATCTATTTAATGCAATTTTATTTTTAAAATGTTCTTTGTTATGATAAATCACTTTTTAAATTTTAAACCATATTTGTTGAATGAAAAAAAAGCTTAAATCTGCATCTATAAGATCTAATTCATTATTATTATTATTTTAATTCTAGGTGGAAGAAAAAGAAGTACCTAAGATAGAGGCTTTACAACAAGAAGATGACAAAATACAGAAATTACTAGCAGAATTGGAAGAAAAATATCGGAGTTTGTCAAAGGAATATGATACATTAACAATGAAAGTTAGTGCTGAAAAAGAACTTTTATCAAAATTGAATGAAGATACTACTGCAGCTCGAAGTCGTTATGAAGAAATTCAAGACGAAGTTGAAAAAGCAGAAAGTGATTTGGATAATTTAATGTCAGAAAAATCTGCCTTGATTTCTGAATTAAATATTCTGAAAGATAATATCAATAATGAAAAATCAAATTTGCAGAATTTAGAACAAAAAATTGTGGCATCAAATAGTGGAAAATGTGGGAATTCCAATAAATTTGTTGATAGCAGTGTAAATACCACACTTCTGTGTCTTGCCTCTTTGTGCCAATTTACCCAGACTTCTGTTGATTGCAAAGATGCATCTAGTCAAATAAATTGTATTGAAATATTTAAAACAGATATTTCCTGCCAGACAACTGATGAAAAACATTTCATGGCTGATAAGAAATGCCAGGTAGAATTAGTGCCTTGTATAGAAAACACTACAAATATAACTAAAAATGAAAGTGTTTTTACCAATGTGGGGGAAAATTTTAATGTTGATAAAGCTAATAATAAAATTCTTGAAAGTGCCTTAAATGGAATTGGTAAACAAATGGAATCAAGAATTAAAAATATTGAAGAGCAACTAATGTAAGTTCTTTATATTAAGTAATAATTGTTTTTGTTTGGTTAGGTTTATATTTCATCTTGGTTTTAATTAGCACTTCAAAAATTGCATTATAGATTTTTTTTTTGTTTCTTATTCCTTCCCCTAAAAATATTATTTTTTCATTAATTTCTCTTGAAATAGTTAAAATTCAGATAATCAAAATATATTTTGCTCACTTTGATAATTAACATGTGGTGCTATTCTATAACAGATATTTTCTTTTATGCAATTCTAGAATTAAATGAAACATTATGTAAATTTATTAATGCTTGCATTATGCTCACATTTTTGTATGTGGACTGAAAATTATTTACATAATTTATCTTTTTGAGTTATATACTTTAAAATGTTATTACTTTTTATATATATATACAGTTCTTTACATTTAGAAGCATATGAGCAGGTATTTCTTATTACAAATTTAAGCTGCACATTTTATTTATATTTTTAAGATGTAAAATTAAAATATGTAAATGTAAAATTAAGATGTAAAATTAAAAGTATGGATTAAATTCAATGTGAATGATTTAACAACTTACTTCTGCCAATCTCCTACTTCTATAGGATCAAGTTCATAAATAATTAAGTTCTCAATAATCAGAATGAATTTTATAGTAGATATTTTTAAATACCACTCTGAAATCTTTTTTTTTTTTTTTGTTGTTATTTTTCAAATTTTCCAATTTTAAAATCTTACTGGGCATAAGTTTGATATGGCTGTTTTTCACTATTTTGTCCAATTTGAAAATCCTTCCATAGCCTAAGTTCAGAGAAATACAGTAATTAGTTATTCTTAAATGAGAAGATATGAGCATCATACAGGTAATAAATATAACTGAATAGAAAAAATTAGTTTACTGCTTATTGTCTCCATAGAATTTTTAACGCTGAGTAGTAAGATGTATTTAAGTTAGTTTAAAAAAAATCTGATGTGGACACCACATGACTCCCTTGTACAGCCTATTAAATTTTACATTTTTTTGTTGCACTTCATTTAAACTTATTTTCTGAAATTTTTCTTGGTTAATTACATGATCCTTCAAGGCAAGATGAAAAGGACATAAAAAATTGCAAGTTTTGAAATTAAATATCCTGGTCAATTTTTGATGTAATGAAATCAAACTTCTTATAATTTTATTTTTCATACCGGGTATAACACTTTCCCAAATATTCATATAGGAACCAGGAAATTGCATTAAAAGTTAAATTTTGTTATTTGTAGAAAATTAATTATTTTTTAAATTTGACATTGCCAAAATATAAGTATTTTCATCATTTAAAACACTTCTACAATTTGGAATGTAGTATAACTGTGAGCAATGATCACAAAAATGAAGATCGGGGAAGAACTTTTAAGAAAGATAAATGGGTGGGTTATATATGTGGGGGGGGCAGTTCTATATCTCGCATTCTACTGGGCTGATTGATGAAATTCAAACTGCATTTTCCAAGCCTCGAAAGGGCAATTTATGATATATATTAGATTTTGTATATAGCTTTGGTCTAACATAGGTATTTTGATACGAAATTGGACTTTATCTGAAATAACACACTGATTTTTTTCCCCATATTTTGATTCTACGACTCAAATTATGCCTAGATTTTAAGTTTTATCATTTTTGGTGAGAAATTTATGGAGAAATTGAAAAATTTATCTTTCTGAATTTTTTTCCGTTTGTGCCAAGAATAATTCACTTGGTGAACTTCTTAATTTATAGCAACCTATTTTCCTTTCCTTTTCCTTAATTGTCCACGAGTGGAAAAAAAAAATCATCGTTCACTTTTGTTATTATCGCTTATAATAAATACACCAAATTTCAAAATGCACCAAAATGTAAATTCACTTATATCTTAGGAAATTTTGAATAAAAAACTGTAATTTTTTTAGGTGTACTTAAAAGTACATCTACTTAAGATGATGGCAAAACTTTTATAGGCTGTAATTCAAAATTTTTTCAAAAAGTATATAAAAATTATTTTAAAATACAAATTTTAAAAATAAATCATAAAAAGTAGGCAAATTTTCTTTGGAATGAACCTAAATTTCAAAATGAGTGGAAGAATCAAATAAGTTTAATAAAAAAATAGATATTAATGAATATATATCAAATTCAATTAACATGGAGGAGCTAAAATTTTGGGAGCTAATTTTTTAAAAACTGCTTGCGAGATTTTTACAAAACTTGGCAGTTTGGTTATAATTTGAGGCGTATAATCAAAATATTGGGGGGGAAAAAATGGCATGTCATTTCAGAAAAAGTCCAATTTTGTTTCAAAATACCTATATTAGAACAATGCACATATAAATCTAATACATATTTTAAGTCACATATTCAAGACATGAAAAAATGCAAGTTGAATTTTGTTAGTCGACCTAGTAGAACGGGAAATATAGAACTATTAATTTTTTTTATGCAGTGTACATATGTATTTAATATATGCTGTGTGAGGTTCACATCTTGGTGCAGCAATAGCTAACTTTCACAGCTGACAGGATAATACTAAGCACCAATACAATACAAAGTCTGAGATCCTGATGTCGAATATCTGGAATGATCTAAATTCTGGGCCTAAAAGCCACCAACAACTTTATTTTCATTTTTTTGTATACTTTATATGTGCACATTTGAATCCCTCCTTCGCGCACAATAAAACATGAGGAGAGTCTCGATTTGTAATTTCACTTCGGCACTAAATGAAATACCACATTATTGAAGAAACAGTCATTTAGCATAAATTTGCATGATCGAGAATTTGGCTCCAATCCGTATCTGCTTGGTATACACCTCAAACTGAAACATTCTACATAGATACATCATTGATTTTACACCTACTAACATTTTATATTCCTGATGCCAACCTGGGGAATTATTATTTATTATATTTTGCTTTCATCACCAAATGTTTATCACACATGACAACTTGAGTAATGACTCATATAGCAATGTCTGACATTACGCTTGGCAATTATTACAGATTTAAGTTAAATGCACTAAGAAATGTTGACAATGAAAAATTTAACAAAAATTTCTTTCCATATGCTAAAAATAGATTTTCTTAATGATACTCATAGGCCAAAAGATTACATTTAGTGCTATTTGAATTAAGAATAACTGATTTGTTATTCACATAAACCCAGAGCCCACACCAGAGCTCATCTGGCTGCACTGGGCGGCAGAATTTATGGAAGACAAAGGGAGATGCTTGGTAGCAGAATTTCGGACCCACAGAGACTGCATCAAGCGGAAAGATATTTAGCGCTGGCCCTCGATAAGCCTTAAATACATGTGGGGATTTATTTATTCAGGACTCAGCCTTAAGCATGTGCAAGAAGAAGTATAATAAATAACTAATACAATTCAGGCTTAATTGTCTCAGAGCACGATAGAAGAAATATAAAATTTAGTGAAACAATTTGTCTTTAGTTGCCAATCTCATGATACATAGTCAAATATGTATAGTGAATGATAGCTAAATTTTATGATGACAGATGCAAATTTTAAAGGTTTTCAGATGTTGCAAACCAAAGGTGAAATTTTCCAATTAAAGAATTTTGTAAAGAAATGTGGAGAAGCAGTAAAAAATGAAGATTATATAAAAGAAGTTTTTCTTTGTGATGACAATGCCCCTCAACCATCAATCAATTAATGGAGAGCAAAATCTGTAGTATGGTTCTATATCCAGAAAATACCACTACCGATAGTGAAGAAAGTGACAGAGAGTTTATTGAAAATGAAAACATTTCGATATTAAGCTTTTTTTTTTTTTTTTTTTTGTAAATTTTGATACTCTCTCTCTCTCTCTTTTTTTTTTTTTTTTTTTTTTTTTTAATTTTGAAGCATTTGTGATTTTTGATCATGAATGCTTCATTATTTCATAAATCACAATTTCATATTTTTAATTTGATAATTTCTAATGCCATCTTACTAGATTTAAACTGATGATCTAATATTCCGGAAAAATTCCAAATCCAGAATTGCAGAAGTCCGGATGAGTTCGGATCTCAAACTTTGTATTGTATAAGTTTTTTTAATTGAGTCATTCTTTTTTAAACACTCTGTATTTACTGTACTTGTTCTAGCAGTAAAAATAATGTGATGTTTTCTAGAGTATTATATTAATTTCTAGAGATGACAAAATAATAAAAATTATGCCTGCCATCTGTACTGGATAAGTAATAGAACACTATTATGAAACATACATGCATATTTATGCTTGAAATCTGGGGAGATTTCTGTGGGAAGACAGTGTTATGTTTCATCATGTTATGACCTGTTCTTATTTAGCATGGCTTTTACAATTGGTAAACTGCTTATTTCTGTTGCATGTATAATGTATTTTGGCTGCAATAAACTGCAGATACTCAGTTGATAGCCATAATGATGTCAGAAAATTTGAAATATTGTTTCAAAACTCTTAATTTTTTCCTGTAAATATATTCACTTTTTTACTATCCTGTCTGTACTATACTGATTCAGCACTTTTTCTGTCAGATTCTTGCAAGAAAAGTTAACTCCAATCAACACCAGTCAGTCTTTCAAATCGTTCAATCCACCCAAACACTCAGATTTCACAGAAGTGAAATATCAGCCTAACCCACCGGATGTAAATATTCTTCACGATCTTGCAACAGATAAAGTATCTCCACCACCATCTTCCAGCAAGATTCCATCTTCTAATCCTGTGCCTAGACAAAGTAAATGCATGTGTGAAGATGGAGATCCTGAATCTTGTGAAGTAATGCAAGCGGTCAAAAATTCTGTTTATCAACTGAATGATGTTCTTAATCTGAGTTTTGATCCCACATTTCATACCAGTAGTTTGGTATATGGATTTAGTCCTTTTTCATATTCTAGTCCAGTTGAAAGTTTTTATGTCCAGTTTCAAAAGCTACAAGCAAAGCATCGTATTACAGAACTGAAGCATCAGTGTGAAAACCAAACCATGAAACAGTTTAAAGGCTCCTCAAGTGAAACAAGTATGGTAAATTATGTTTAGATAAATGTTATGCTATATTTTCAAAATACTGCTTTTTAAATTTAATATTGTTTATAATTTATTAAACAGTTGAGATTTTTATCATTAAAAATTATCATTGTTTAAGGTTACATTGTTATCACTTCACAATCAGTTGAATTTTAATATTTTCTGCAGAAATGGTAAATATAAAATTAAATCTATGTTGTGCTGCATCTGATTATTCCAATAAATATTTAATTAATAATCCATTTTATAATAATATAATATTATTTACCTAAAAAAAGAATAAAAATAATGAAAAATTAAAAATAAAAATCTCTTCTAAATTTCTTTTCTGGTATTTAAAGTCTTTTTCTTTTCCACCCTTTTCTTTCTTTCTTTTTTTTTAAAGAATATTAGACATTGATAATAATTCTGCTCATAGAGGACATTGTTTTAAAAATTTAGTTTTGCTGTTTATTAGTATTACTTTTGTGTGGTATATTCAATGGTATTGTATTATTTTTTAATGCTAAACCCAATTTGTTAGAAATATAATAATGAATTGTTAATAACTTAATTAACTGATTTCTAGTCGAGGCATAAGGCAAAAAGTATATTAATGATGTATTTTTTCTCAGTTCTAAAACCATTTAACTAATAAAAAGTTTATTTATTTTTTACCTTTTTGTAGATTGGTTGTTTATTGATTATGGTAAAGCATTCAAAGGCTATCTGCCTAAGGGGAGGGATAGCTTTCTGGAGGACTTTCTAACCTTATTGTAAATAGGCTCATAAGAATGTAGTTCATTATGCAAACTTTTGAAATGGTTTACCAGTTCATAGAGCTATTTGTTCATACACAGCAGCTGTTGTCTTTTTGGCTGCATTCTTTGATTGATTATTATGCGAAATAATATCCACCTGTTTACTGTAGAATATTAAATTTCTGATTGTAAAGCATTAATTACATTTCATACATTTTTATCAAGGGGGAGAAACAGTTATTTTAATTAATATTTAGCATTAAACCTTTCTCCCTGGTACTTATGTATTAGTGCAACTATCTAAGTCGCCAAATTCTCAGAATATACCAAACTCTGGCAATCATATACATAAAACGTCTTCAGATTATTCTCTTCAGTCTTCAATATCATAATTTTTGTTCATGTTTTCTTTTTTGCTTATTCCAAGTTCCAAAATTTTTTTCCCCTTAAATTCAATTTTAAAACATGCACTTTTACAATGAGTGCAATAAAATATCTGCAGAAATACAATATTTTAAGCAAAATCCCTCATAGGAACAATAGTGTTAAATCTATTCTTAAAGTGATCACCACAAAATTTTGATCACAACTTTGTGTGTGTGTGTGTGGGGGGGAGACCCACTTGTAAATAGGTTTATTGGTTGGTTTCCGAATAATACCTAAATATTGGGTTTTAACCCTTTCTGGCACGCTATCTTTTAAAGTTGGAATTTCGATTAAAAAAAAAGACAGTTTAATCAGCCGCCAAGAGGAGCACACAGGTAAAATTTTGTGAAGATAGTACTTATCGTTTTAATTCTGTGTGTGTGCCCGAAGCGAGCACTCTGAATGGATAGAGCTTCGAAAAGAGTGCTGAAATGAGCACTGCTGGGAAGTGTATAAAAGCGTAAGAGATTTTGCCTACAATTAAAAAACACCATAGATTCTGAATACCGTTAACAGATTCAGTATTACCCAGGGTGTGCGATGGGGAGGCCTGCTACTCTACATTAAAAAAGCTCTTCTTGTTTATATGATGATTACATGCATATGAATGGAAAAAAGTGACTTGAGTATATGATATTTACATTATTTACATTTAATATTACACTTTCATATATTTTTTTTCATGGTGTACTTTTAAAAGAAAGTGATACCACCTTTGAAAAGCACAACCCAATATTGCATGTTTTACATATGTACCAGGATCCGTATCAAACTCACTATCTGAAAGCAATTCTTGTAGCACTTTCAGTGCATCAGAAATGGTCAGCCCTCTCCGATCCGTTTGGAAAATAATTAAAAATTCGAAAAAAATAAACTAATACTATATCTACAATTTGAAGTTATAATCTATAAAATAAAATTAAATAAACGTCTACTACTCAAAACTAATAAATGTAGTGCTAACAAAACTTCCTTGAGCCAAAGCAAAAGAGAAAAAGAGAACTAACTGCTCTAGTGAAAAACCAAAAAGCTAACTGATAAAATTACCCCTGACCTTCAGAAAATGATCCAATTCCTTAGTTGATAACAAAACCTTCCCCCCCCCAAAAAAAAAAGAAAAAAGAAAAGAAATGAAGAAATAGAAAAACAGGAAATGAAACACAGGTGTGGACCCACCTTTCTATTATGAATGCACTGACCGATGAGCTGCAGAGGAACAAAGATACAGTTGCCTCTCAGTAAAATAGTGTCTCAGTGAGCCCACTCTGGGAACATCTGATGTTCGCCATTCGATTTTAGGCAAGATTTCAAGGTGAAACTATTATAGAATAAGAAGATTGGTATACAGGCAAGAAAATAACATAGAAATTTCTTTTCAAACAATTCCTTTTATATCCTAAAAAAATCTAGAAGATTATTTTGGAAAATGTGTGTTCTTAAAAACAATGTTTGTCCATTCAGAGTAACCTATAAATCCTTTCTCATTCAATTTTTTCTGTGTGTGCAGAAGAAAATTTTTAGGTGTGGCCAGACGGGGCACAACGTGCCGCAAAGAGTTAACGAAAGTTTCCCACCATCGAAAATATTGTCTGTGCAAACAGTTTGCGTTGGTGTTTTTAATCATATTTTGTCAAACGAGTTTTGGCATTTGAAAGAAAGAGACTTGCTTTAGAACACTGGGTTGTGAAATCTGTAAAAAAAAATATCGTCATCATTAAGTACAAGGTGTCTGAAATGAAACTATCATACTACCAGATTAGAACCATTGTTTACTTCCACAATGTCAGCTACAGAATGTCACTAAATCATGTGTACACTTTAGGTACAGATGATTGTATCATATAACACTCTGAAGGTTTAGTACCGAAAGTTAAAAAATGGGGAGTATGTCATTCAAAAAGCAGAGGACTCTGGCCGTCCTACTGATGTTAATAAGGCCAGCCTGTGAGAACTTGTGGAAGACAATCACTAGCAATCACTTGAGAGCTTGCTAATGCTTTAGATGTTAGTGCCATGTCCATTAATCATTATCGATGCAAGGAGAAAATTCTGGACCAGATCATCACTTGTGATATAAAGTGAATTTACTTCAACAACACAGGGCAAAAGCGGGTTGGTCTGCATCCGGTGAGCCCGTCGGCAGCATCACAAAGCACAATTCGACTAACAAAAAGATCATGCTCTATACCTGGTGGAATTGCCATCGTATTATCCACAAAATGTATCTTTAAAAAGATAAAATCCTCAACAGTAAGGTTTACAGCGAGAGAGCTAGTCTGTGTTGACACTGGTATCAAGGAAAAACTTCAAACTGACTTTCAGCACAAAAAGATTATGTTCAATCAAGATAATGCAAGACCACAAGTGTCTGCATTCACCGGTTGAGCTTTGTATGGAATCGAATGGGATCTTTTGCCACACCCATCGTAGAGTCCCAAAATTGCTCCTTTGAACTTCTATTGTTTTTCATGCCTGCAACTACATTTTGTTGGTGCTATCTTCCATTCTGCACAGGATGTCTAAAATGAAGTTTATCTGTTTTTAGTCTCACAGCCAACAAATTTCTGGACTGAAGGCTTTGAAATACTACCAAAACATTGGCAGAAAATCATACTGGGGGGGTGGTGTGATTACTACTGCATTAAAGATACTGCTTTCATGTTTTTTTTTAACTTTATTAAGAATGTTTTTTGGCCGATAAATTTTTGTTACAACTAGGTAAAACATTAAATATGTATATAATAACTTGCATTTACATAATAAATAATTTTATTTTTTATAAGTCATTATTTTTTCTCCTGTAAAAAATTGCCAAATTATGTCAATGTGGTTGCACTAACATGTACCTTTTTTCTTCCTTTATCATTAAATACCTAGCAAGTTAGTATAAGTATACATAATTTCAAAAGTCTTTTCTGGACTTCCAGATCCAATGAAATAATTACATATTTTGTAAATTGTTGGTTATTCATCTATTATTTCTTCTATTTTTACAAAAACTGAAAAAGTTCCTTATTAAATTATTCAGAAAAATTAGCTAAAATGAAATATTCTATCTTAGTTTTATGTTTACATTATCTGCAGTTGCTCTTTTATAAGATATTAATTTATAAGATATTAATATAAATGTCTTATGCTTGCAATTCTCCTTGAAATGGCTATATATATATATATATATAGTTATTTATTATTTTAAATTAAAACTAAACAGGCAAAGTTTGATAGAAAGTTAAAATACAAGGGACAGCCAAAAAGTTCCTGGAAGTTTGTTGCAATTCTCTATTACCACAATTGTAGGTACATATTTACTTAATTGTCTTCAAAATAGGCTCATTCAAAGCATACACACTTTCTCCAATGTTCCTGCCATTGCTAGAAACAATGATGAAAGTGAAGTTTTGGTATCTTCCGAAGTTTAGCAATTGTGTTAGTTTCGATACCCTCAGTGTCAAACCAGTTACCTTTGAGGCCCATTTTGATCTTTGGGAAGAGTCAGAAATCTGATGGCGCTAAATTAGATGAATAGCAAGGCTGGTGAAGGACTAGAGTATTCTTTTCTGTGAGCCATGTTTGCACAACAATCAATGTGTGGGAGGGAGATTATCGTGTTGCAGTAACCATCCTTCTCGACATTTGGCCAGAGGTTTTCTTTGGAGTCCCTTCCTCAGTTTTTTTATAAGTGTATAGATTTCATAAATAAATCAACATTGTGCCAACTGAACACTACATACTCCTGCCTTCAGTTACACAGCTGTCATACTGCCTGTTATGAATTCTGGTTGTAAATAAATATGGTGGAGTAAAACAAATGAATGAATTATTTGTGGTGATAAAGAATTACAAGTTCTGGGAATTTTTACTACCCATTGTATACTAAAATTTAAAATTTAATAAAAGTTAGTGGAGTATATTAGATTAACTTGGACTGAGTCGAAAAAGTAATTAGTAAAAAAATAAAAATACACAATAATCAATATAAAAAGAAAAAAGTAGTATTATCACTGCTGAACTCGAAATGTTTTCAAGAGGAAAAAGAGTTTGATGCTAGCAAAATCAGTTATTTTTCTGTTCATTTTGAATTAGCTGAGGCATTGAAATAATTTTTTAAAAATTGTTTGTACCTCTGAACATTAGAAATGCCTCACCTACATAAAAATTTTGCTAAAACAAAAGTAGAACAGCTGTAACAACTCTAAAAGAATAACACAATCACTGACTGAGCTAGCTAGCTACCTGGTTGGCTGGCTAGATGGATGGAACAAAGAATAATGAGTAATCAAATAAAAAAAGAATATGTATGTAACTCTCTTATAAAAGATTGCAAATATTTTAATATAGCTATTGATATATATCACATAAAGAACAGCTAGAATTCTTTGTGCTAGTGCAGTGTTTATGCAGTTGCTATGAAACAGATTTATTTTAAATTACACCTTAATGGTTTATATTTAAGTATTCTATTATTATGTCGATTTAGTAAACTATCATTTTTTCATATGTATATTATATACTATACATATATTTCATATATTACATACTTCATATATATACATATGCATATATTAAGATATCATATATAACAGTTTAGTAATATATACATGCCATTTTTATTTATTTCCTTTACATTTTCTTTCACTATAATTTCTGTAAGATCTGTTTATTGTGCTTGATATATTTTTGAATTGTATTAAAATTACATTTATTTGTATATTTATAAATTATAGGCAAAACCTCAACAAGCAAACCATCTGAAAATGATTTTATTCGATCATCACTTTATACTCCACATTTCAATCAAAATTTACTGTAAGCTGATATCTTTTTCATTTACTTTTTCCATTAATTAAGATAGTTATGAGTATTTTATGAAAATAATCTTTCAATTGCTTTAATGACACTCATTTATAAACTGTTATATTTTTTAAGTTAGAGTGTAAAATTAATTTTTATAAATGCATGAAATAGAATTTTCAGTTTTCTCTCTCTGTTGTATTAATAAGGAATATTGTGTTTTCTTCTTCATTAAAAATTATTTTAATATTTATAATTTATTATGTAAAAAATTATTTTAATATTTATAATTTATTATGTAAAAAATTATTTTAAATTGTTGCTATTAAAATTTTTCTTAAATAATGAAAGAAAATTTTTTTGCTTTCATGTGAAGCATTAATTATATTGGTACTCTTCATTGTTAATGGGGTGACATTTAGCGCCAAACATAAAAACTGCTTTGAAATCTAACTAGAGGGTGGCAAACATAAAATATGTAAAGCTTTATGAAAAGATTTAGATGAAAATTTTCTCTGTTACGGTACTAATGTACACAGCTATTTGTTTTCCCTTTAAAAAAAGCAGAGAATTGCAAAATTTGACATTACACACGGACCTGACATTGTGCACATTAAACATTGTGTGACTTATCATAATGCTGTATAAAAAGGTTACCATATGTGGTACTCTGGTATACATTTTTCAACTGGTGCCCCATTAATAAAAACATACTCAAATATTTATATCATATACTTTACAATAAAAGCAGAGCTGTTTAGTTTCTGCTAAAATGGTTAAAACTTGCATAGGGAAAAATATTAGTATCTGACAAAAACTATCAAATAACTGAAAAGTGATCAAAGTACTCTAACAGGGTTCGTAGCGGTCCTTATAAGTGCTTATAAGTCCTTATATTTGAAAATAAAATATAAAGGCTCTTATAGGTGCTTACTTTTTCTAAAGCCCTTATTTTTTGTTTTTAGTGCTTATTTTTTGCTTTTAGTGCTTTTTTTTTTAATGAATGCGCTATTTTTCCCCGTACCAAAGCCGAAACTAAATAAACAACTTTTCTTATTAATATGGAATGTCAGATGGTGAGTCATACTCCTGGAAATAGCTTTTCCCCCTTTCTCTGCATTAACATAACCTTTGGTGTGCAAGAAGAGTAGACAGGTGCCCGTCCTTCTATTGGTCAAAGAATTGCGAAAGCAGTAGAAAATTGCGCTACATTCGGCGTTCTTTTCCTCCCACCCAAATACTATACACGTTTGAATTTCTATCAAGATCTTAAAAATTTGCATTCTCGTTCCGCTTGGTCAGTTCATATTCGTGTTTATTATGATCGTTATGCTTATATTATGAGCATGTATGAATGTTTATAATAACATAGTTGCAGTAACTGCTGAAGCATAGTAAACTTCCAAAAATGGTTCTCTTTTAACACAGATTAGCTTTCCAAGGAATAATATTCGGAATGGCTTAAATAAAGGGAAAGTAATCGAATAGTCAAAATAATTTCATTTTTTTAGCCAATATATTATACAGTACAAAGGTTGGGAGGTCTCTCCGCAAAATCTTGAATATTGAAACCGTTACAGTTCGCTGCAAAACAAGCAACGGTCCTTTTTTTTTTTTTTTTTTTTTTGTCACTTTTGATTGAATAGGACTAAAAGTTCTGCAGTCTACCAACCCAAGCGAAGAATTATTCTATTCCAGAAATTTAACGCCATCTGTTGAAAATTAGAATGAAAAACACCCCAGTTATTTAGTTCTTTATTCTCCCAATACCGGCAGTTGTTGATTCCGATTGCGTAATATCACGTAGGGAAGAATTACGGCGCACATATTGTGCAATAACGTTTGCGATATTTTGCAGAGATAATTAATTTTGATGTTCAGTCCGAGGTTTGTTTATGAACACTTAAAAGAGTTTTACTGTGCTTGCTAAGCAGAATTTTTTTTTTCCATTGGTACTTTTGTTATGGTTACATATTGAGATGCACATATAGAAATGTCAAAAGATATATTTAGTGGAAAAATCTAAAGAACGGCTACAGTCTAAATCCTTCCCCTCCGCTCCTTCAAGTTACGCTCGACAGTCCGGATATTCGCCAATTTCCAAGTGTGCGGGTTAGTAAACCTTTTACTGTTAAAGATGACATGACTGCATGAAGCAAATTTCTGTCTTCTGATTTCAGAAATGTTCCTCTTTTTTACTTAAATTACTTTGCTTGCAGTATCTGTTAAGAGAAAACTGATATACAATGAAAATTTAGAAAATGTTCAGAATTTAGATTTAAATTATTTAAATATCAATATGAGTGGAAAAATAAATTGTATTTATTATTAGGTTCCAAGCGAATACAATAAATATACCTTATTATTAATTATTTTCTCTATTTTGAACTGAAATTTCATCATTAAATCTTGTAATATAGTTTAGTTCTTCATAGTTTTTTTTTTTTCTCTCATTGTAAACAAGTTCTGTAAATTAAACTATTATTTAAAACTAAAAACAAACAAACAAACAAAAAAAAAAAAAAAAAAAAAGTAATTATTTTTTATGGTTGAGGTAATGCTCTTTGTCTCTTAATAAGTACTTCATTTCTCATATTTTAAATTACAAGTCTAATTTTTAAGGTTATGCAGTTGTGTATGATGTAATTAGACAGGTGCTTATTTTTTTTTCTTAAAATGTGCTTGAAAAGTGCTTATAGGTGCTTATTTTTTTAACTAAAATGTGGCTATGAACCCTGTCTAAGAAGTAAAGAGAATCATCTTTTAAGTTTCGCTACAGTGTTTTCAAAAGTTATTCAAAGGTCATGTAATAGCAGTTAATCACCATTTAAGTTCAGTCAGACTTTTTTTTCAATGAAATAGTGCGTAGCAAAAAAACCCATTTAATTGCTGTATAAATTAAAATTATTTAATTTAATAAATTAAATAAAATTAAAATTAAAGCAAAATTAAAGCAATTTCTCTTTTTTTTTTTTTTTTTTTTTTTTTTTTTTTTTGTGTGTGTGAATAAATAGAAGCTGTAAAATTTTCTTTCAGGCCTAGCACTATTTGCAGGAAATATCACCTGTGCAGTTATGCTAAAAAGAATTATGAAATATTCATTTGCATTTGTTTGCTTTAAATTAGATTATCACAGATTCTGTAACATTTTGTTGGAGAAATACATATAAGTATTAGATAAGAAATTTCTTATACAAAATAAGATCTTGTATAAGAAAAAAAAGCCCGTTATGCTTGAAACATTAAGATTGAGTTTGTGTCGTCAAACTAAGCTGCATGAAATTCAAAGGAAAGTTTGGTTCTGGGATTTGGTATGTTTGATCCAATAAAAAAGAACTGGATCGTCTCTCAAATTGTGTAAAAATTAGTTGATGAATCATAAAAAGATAACATTATCACATTTCCAAAAAGAAATTAAAAACAACTCTAGTTAGAAATCATGTTAACCCTTTGCAGCATGGTATGCCCAGTCTGGGCACACCTAAAAATTTTCTTCTGTACGCACACAAAAATTGGAAGAAAAGGGATTTATAGGTTACTCTGAACCTTCTTTATTTATAGTAGATGGCAGCTCAACACAAACCAGTCCATATATTTTAGCCATGTTTAGTTTTTTGAGACCCTCATTTTTCAAAGAAATCTTCCATTTTTTTTTAGGTATAAAAGGAATTGTTTGAAAAGAAATTTCTATGTTATTTTTTTTGGCTGTATGCTAATCTCCTTATTCTATATTAGTTTTAAATTTTTACCTTGAAATCTTGCCTAAAATAGAACGGCAAACCCCAGGTGTGCCCAGAGCAGGCTCACCGATAATCTAGGACAACTGAGAGTCTGTATTCTTTGTTTCTTCGCATCTCATCAGTCAGTTCATTGACAACAGAAAGGTGGGTCCACATCTGTGTTTCATTTCCTGTTTTTCTCTTTCTTCTTCTCTATTTTTTTTTTTTTTTTTTATTTATTTTTTTTGAGGGGACGTTCGGTTATCAACTAACAAATTGTTGGGGTGATTTTCTGAAGATCAACGGTAATTTTAGCAGTTAGCTGTTTGGTTTTTCACTAGAGCAGTTCTCTTTTTCTCTTTCACTTTTGTTCAAAGTTTTGCTAGCGCTACGTTTAATTTTTAATAGTTCTGAGTTAATAATTTTACACAGTAATTTAATTAACTTAAAAGTCCTGGTTCAGGTGCATCAGTTATGTATCCTCATATGAAATGAACATTTATAATAAGTAATAATTTTATCCATAAAATTTCAAAAATACTGAAAATGAACATAAAAAATATTGATAAATTTACCATTAACTTTTACTTAGTTTCTAGGTAGAAAATTATCTATAATTTTGTACAAGTGTGATGCAGATTATATAAAAATTTTATCTATATTTTTGTCCCCAAATTGAAAAGATTCTATTATTCTACAGTTTATGCCAATACAAGTTTATGAATAATATGCATTGCAGTTGGTATCTGCTGTAGTAGAGAATTCATTTTCTGTGTGCTGAATTTCATTAATACTTTTTCATCAGCATTAAAAGAAGAATGTGGTGTTATAAGATCATTTGTCATTTCACGATCATCGCTCTTCACTAATTCTTTGCTTTCATGTTCTTCAATATCTAAAAATTCTTTGCTGCTTATTGCTTTTGCAGTTTGCATTATAAGGTATTTCTCCCGCCTACTTGTCGTGCCTTTGTGGTGTGGTGGTCTGCACGCTCAGCGCATAATTGAGAGGTTGGGGTTCGATTTCCGGCGAAAGCGTTGCATATTTTTAATCTTTCCTACTTCCAAAAGATACCTAATGTCTCTACAGTATTATTTTATTGGCTTCATTTTCAATTTATGGAAATCCTTAAAAAATTTTAACAACTTTTCATACATTTTAAAATTGACTATAGTCATTTAAAATAACGTTAAATGTAAAGGGAAATGGCCAAGATCAAAATATTAGTTCATTATATCTAGAGGTCATTATAAATGTGGTTCTCTATAGCAGGGTTTGACTGTGTCATGAAATAATGTCCTAGTTTTCTCTTCCTCACTAGACAGTACTGATGTGAGCAAGCAATCCTTGTTGATGAATTCACTTGTTCCCATGCGAGTTTAAACATTTATGTGTAGTGTCTTATGTTGAAGTGCTCCCAAAATACCATTAATTGTCATGCTTTCCTTCATGTAGTGCAATGGTTCTCAACCTTTTTTGCCTGCACCTCTTTTATAATTGCTAAACAATCATTCCCCATCCACTCCTTTCCAAAATTCAAAAAATATGTATACATTTATTTAAATTAAAATTATTTTTTAATGTAATACTTTATAATTTAAATGGAAAAGTATAGAAAGTGTTGATAATATCAAAACTTGAATAAAAAATTTTCATATTCATAAACTGAAACTAAATCCTTAACAAGTAAATATAACTCTAACCACATTCCCCTGCTTAGACTATGAAATTTTCTCCTTGCTGAGAACCTCTGGTCTAGTGCTTTATTTGCAGTGACTTATGTTAATAATGCTTTGTTTGCATTACTAACATGTGTAGTATAATAGGATTTGAATGTTTTTATAATTCCTTGATGCACTGATTGGATTAAGGAAGTGGTGTTCAGTGGAAGGAATGACGCTTTGGAGACTACATTTGGATCCAGTGTTCTTTGATCTTCAATACCAAGCCCCAAAGCATTATCAAGAATTAGGAGAAATTTTAAAGATCAGGTTTTGCTGTTCTAAGTAATCTTTGCTTCTTTAATGAATCAATTTTCAAATCAGTCATTAAGGAGGACTATCACTATGTGACTGACACTCTGCATTGTTCATAGTTGAAACATAGTTTAAATTCTCGTATTGTACAAATTAAATTGAGACAATTTAGATAACACATATATGCAAAATTATATTTCACAAGTCTGCATTCAGCAGATATTTACTATAATATCTTGCCCCAGAAGGTTAAGATAATGAGCAGAATGCTTAAGTCATAAGAATTGAAGGCTTGTCTTTTCTTTCTCAACTTTTTCCTTTTTCTTTTCTTCATTTTTCTTTCTCAACAGTTTCATTTTATATTTATTATCTGTTATAGTAACCTCTATTTTATACTTTTTATTTCTTTTCAATTTCTGTTACTGCTGTGTTGTCTATTTGCAGTCTTTTTTTTAAATATAATTACGGAATTAAAGAAAATATATTAAATTCCAGGTAGATTAATACCATTAGCAACAATAGGGGGAGGGATCATAGATGTAACTGCACAAATATTCTGACTTCAGTTTGTTTTTTATTATTATGATTTTCATGATGGATTTAAACTCAGTTTGCTTCTTAATGTTAATGATGTTTGGTCTTAGTAAGAATGATGTTTAGTCTTCTTAATGATGTTTAGTCTTAGTAAATTGATCATTTTGTAAAGCACAGATACTTATTGGCAGGAATGACATATATTACAACTGCCAAAGAATTTCACTACATTACATCAAAGATCAAATACATTAAAAAAGGACTTTTGCCTAGTATAATAAACTCTTTCAAACTGATCCCCTATGTTGAAGCTTTGTGTTTTTTAGGTTCGTTTTCTTCCTTTTGTTTTGGTTTCTTTGCATGTGAAGCTAAATTATCCTGGAAAAAACTATGTACTTTCATAACTTTCTTGTTATTAACATTACACTTGTTTTGGTGTTCTTTCATGCTATAGCATTTAGCTGTAACAATTGCAGTCAATTCACTTTACTATAACCTTTTTTAAAATTTCTTTTTACTCATCAAAACCAAAAATTGGATCTACTGGCCTTTCAATGCCTGAATCCAATATATCATTAAAAGTATCATGAAATTGCATTCAAAATGTCCTTTTGACAAAATGACTCCCTAAATCAGATGTAGGGAACCATTTTACCATGAGAGGCCACATTTAAATTATGCAGTGATCAAGGAGGCGGCATAAGTTGATATATCTATAAATACTTTATATATTTCAATACTTTTGTGAAATTATTATAGTTTTATCACTTTATTGCATCATAAAGAAATAATGCAATAAACCTTTAAGTCATTTATTAAAACAAAAATTTAAAATTTAAAATATATTTGTATTCACATAAGGATAATAACTTATGATAAAATTAATGTTTAATAATTTTTTTAATAAACAACTGCATATATTTAAATACTGTTTCAAATAAAAATAATAAAGTAGAAGTATTTCTCAATAAATTTATTACATTATAAAGAAAAGCAATAATATTAAATTATACAAAACCAGTATAGCAACAGTATGTAAAATAATGTTAAATCCCGATGGAAAACTTAATTTAGTGGGATATTTGCATTTGTTTCTTGCCTGAAAAGTAGTTGAATATTTGGATCAAGCTTCATAATGTGCAGTCTTAATAGATCCTCAAATTAGTAGATTTTAGAGATAAAGGATCATTTGCAATTTGCTTTCTTAAATTAATTTTATTTTTTGTCATGAGAGAAAATGTCGACTTCCAGCAGTAAGTATCTGAAAAGTAAATGGTGTGCATATCCTCATAGGCATGGATATTCAACTGCATTTTTACAGATTTCTATGGGAACCTTTTTAGTGTCAAAAAGAGATTTGAGGATATTATTTCTTCGCAACTGAAATAACTCCATTTATAGTTTATTTAGAGCTTTAGATATATCTACTAAGTATGGTTCAAATGTCAGTTTCATAGCAGAAGTGTACTCGTCAAAATCTGAAAATTTTTCAGTATATACTTCCATTAAAAAATCCAAGAGGCATATTCATTGAATGTTTTATTTTAATAGTTTTGCTCATTCAACATTTTTGCTTACTCTGGGAAGTGTACTGCAGATATATATGAGCAAGAGAATGAAAATGAAGGAAAATTTCTGTTTGTTGATTGTATAAGGGTACATTTTAATGTATTTTTACTAATCAACTCGAACTGATATTTTGTATATATACTTATTTATCTCGTTAATGAATTTGTTTGTTTGAATGCTTTTTTAAAAGTAAATAAAAAAATTTAACAGTCCCACAAGGTTCATGCAAATTTCCATCTAACTATAAAAGTGGTATCAGCCTTGTTTTTATGTAATTCTTTTCTTGTTTCATTAAATTAAATTATTAAGGGTAATAAAATTTCTCCCTCTTTTCAAGAAAAAAAGATGATGATGTTCTAGCAAGAGCTCAAAATATTGTATTAAGAGAACAAGCTAGATCAAAGAAACAGCAACAACAGTTTATGGAACCATCTGTTTCTGAAAATCTTTTACATCCTGTAGGTACTTTCCTATAGTCAGTATTTTGTTGATAACTTTGATAATAGATTGCTTATATTTGACTTTTTATTAATCTTTATGTAGAGTATTTTTTTAAGTAAGTAGGGTCCCATAATAAATTTCAATATATTTTTTGTATTTTGTTTTAATTTTTATCTGTATAAAATAATTTTATCAAGGATGCAAAATTGATTGTTAGTTTTATAATTCTCACTTAGCAATTTCTCTTTTATCCAAATTTTATAATGTTCCTATTATATTCTTTTTAAAAGTTTATATAACAAATACATCAGAGTTATTATTTTTGTGGTATAAATCTTTGTATTACAGTGGGTATATAAATGTAATAGCATCAGAATTATTTTTGTAATGCTTATGTAATTTGCAGAGCCAAAATTTTTAAGCATATATATTTTTATGGTACCTTTTCTTTGAAGTAAGGAGCTGCTAATCCAATTTCTTGTTAATAGTGACAAGAATGTTTTATCTGCAGAATTCAAATTTTCTTTCTGCTTTTTGAGCTTATGGAGAAAATAAGCATGAATTTTTTTATCTTACAACTGCTATAAGTATACTACATTGGTTTCCAAAAGTTAAGCAACAAATTGAAAAATCATGATAAATCAGCTAAAAGTGGTATGTTACCAATAAAAAATTTGGGTATGTTACCAATAAAAGCAAGCTTCATCAAGTAGCATTACAAACGAGAGAGGCACTGCCATCACTTTATATAAGTATGATACAGCTTAAAAGTCGGTTGTATAGGAAGAAATTGCTATTCAAAGAATGACAATATATTAAGCAATTTCAAGAAAGCCAAAGTGTAAAAATGAGTTCGAGTTGGCATTTGTCAGTTTAAATGCCTACCATTCTGTGTAAGCTGATTGTGGAACCAATTTCTAACTGCTGGTTCAGCCTCTGAAAGAACTACCAAAGATTAGCCAAGAGCTACCTTTTATAAACAGGTCATATTTACAACTTAGTGTATATCAGCTTTGATCTGTGCTTATTTTTGCTACAAGAATTACAGTATGAGCCATGACAATATGCAGAGGGCTGCATAAAAATGGTCTCTGTGCTAGGCGACATATTTGATGCATTTCGCTTACTTCCCATCACTGGAGAGAGTGTTTGAATTGGGCATGTAGTCATGGAAACTAGACTGATAATCAGCAGAAGTTCATTCTTTTTCTGTTCGCTGATAAGTCATGTGTTGCTTTACATGTGTTTACATATGGAAAGAATTAACACTTAATATCTTTCATCTAACATATGGGGAAGTGATACCCATTCAGGAGGTAGTGGTTTTGTATGCAGAGGAGTATTGTCAGATGGGCTGTGTATGCATTGTCACATGGAATTCTCTCAAAGACACAAAGACCAACATACTGAATTCCCATTGTTCATCCATACGCTGCAACAATTTGTGATACCTTCATTTTGTAAGCAGATAATGCCTGCCTTCACACTACTCACCTTGTGCACCAATTGCTTGAAGAGGAAATTATTTTTTCTGGAAATTATTTATTATAGGGCAAATGGAATGGGCAGCATGCTTATCTGACCTTAATCCCACTGAGCATGTGTGGGATGCTCTCAGGAAGCTTGTTGCTAGCCACAAGCTCCATCTAACCTCTATGGGTTTAAAACTCCTTTTCATGATCAGTGGGCATTGCTGCCCATGAAGCTCGTTGACAACATCATAAACAGCATGTGACTTTGCTGTCAAGCCTATATTTCTGTTAGGAGTGATTATTCTCACTACTGAGAAATTTTTTTGACATTTATTATGTGTGCCCGAATTTAAGAGATTTTATGTTCCTGTTCATATCACAACAATGCAAAAATTCTTTATAACATTTTCTTGTGTTTTTAAGTTACAAGTGATATAATAAATATTATCACTAAGTTTCATCCAATTTGCTTACATACTTTTTGAATTACTATCAGTTTTCTCTTTGCTGCTTAATATTTGAAAACCAGTCTATATGATAAAAAATATCTTCTGTAAAGTAGAATTATCATATTCTGAGGTATAAAAGTCAGGGCAATAATATAGTCTTGTAACATAAAAATGAGAACATCTTGTCAAACAAATGCTCCAGATCTTAAATAAAATCTTACAAATTTGTCCAATGAATGAAAATGATAAAATTTCAAACGGTTCATAGGAAGTCAGTTTAATATGCTTTATATTTTGATACCTGTTCCCTAAAAATAACATAATCTAACTATACATATAAAAATCCATGTAAATTACTACAATAAACAAATATTTAAACAAATTTCAATCATTCCTGTTTTCATGAAAGGTAAATTCATTTAAAGGCCATGAATCTGTCATTACTGATGTAATTTACTTTAAAATAACCAGACGTTTTGATGAACATGAATTGAATACCACATAACTGAAATGATCAAAGTTATATTTTTTATAACTCCATATCAAGCTCATTTCTGCCTTTAGACTTCTGCACTTGAATTGCAGAGAATAATTTTTCCATGTTAATATTGTGGGAAAGAATGCCAAAGATCTGTATAATTTTTCAGGAGCTCAGAATAATATTTTAAAGTACCTTTTTGGAAATTCAAAATACTGAGCTTGCTTTCTATGAAATGATACTGTCTTAGTTTTTTTCATTTTTGCTTGTAGCTATAAAATTAAAATTGCAGGATTCATTCAGCTGTCATCAATAACTATTCCTTTACCTTTCCTTTCATATTTATGATGGATTCAGCTGTACCTGAGAATATCATCTGTTTAAAACAAAAAAGCCCTAAAATGGCATAATTGATGTATCCAAGGATTGGATTGGCTATTGTGCAGAATTTTGGTAGCATTTGTAAATGCTAATTGTTCCTTCTGTAAATCCTCTGCTCTTCTCCTTTGATGTATTTAATTTCTATCATTTAAAAGCAAAGTATTTAAAAAATCACAAGTTTAATTTTCAGGTATTCACATTGATATTTGATTTTGAAAATTTCTTCTAGACGATAATTCAGTTTTTGAAAATGAGACATATGGTAACCCCAACATAAAGTAAATTTAATTAAAAAATGCCAAACCTTTTATTTTTAATCTGCCAAGCAGTGAATGGCTGAAACCATAGAATATTGGTAATTTGTCTGGGAATATATACTGGGTGACTGAACAGACTGCCGGCTTGTAGTTTTCATGTATAACATGATTTTGAAGCAGTTTTCCATAAAAAAAATTCTCCTTGAAATCATTTCTTCTTGATCAAGTAGCCCATACATGCCTTGCCTTAACTAGAATACATGGATTGTCACAACCATAGCCCTTTTTAAAATTGGTGCTTATTTTATTGTCTGAAAGTTGGCTTTATTATCCAAAAGTTAGTCAAAATGATGTTTTCATATCATTTCAGTAGTGATGTTTATTTATTAATTTTAATTGATATCTGTGCTTTTATTATGGGGTGTTAGATTATTTCATTTATTCAATCTTAAAGGTCAAAATTCTGTATCTACTGTAAACTTAATGTAATGAATAGAAAAAAAAAATGCCATCTGGCCTGTTTCATATTTGGCATTAATAACCACTAAAGCTATCCAAATGGTATAGTAGTTAGGGAAGGCTCACATCATTGGATTCAACTTAGTATCTAAATTGGTATGAATATTTGTAATTATAGTGTTTTTGTAGATCGAGGACACTTATGATCTGTTGTGGAAAACCTCTTTTAAGAGGCTGGTGGTAGAAGAAGAGAATAATAGACCTTCTGATTCCATTCCTTAGTTCTCTGTTATCAAAACTGAGATCGAGTTTAAACATGTCGATGGTCCATGTGTTGTGTAATTAAATTATATCATTTCATCCTGTTATATGAAATTAAAATCACTTTCTTCAACTCCTGTCTCATGAGGCACAATTGTATGAACTTTGTTTCATGCATGAGTATTTTTTATTATGGTAATACGGTAGGACACCTTCACAGGATAAGGAGCAGTGCAAAACTGACTGGAATGTAGTCATGGAAACTCATTATTAAAATACATAGCATGTTTTTTAAGTAAGGGCCGTTTTGTTGTATACACTAATAGGTAGTGCGCATGCAGCAACGAGTGCTTGTGTTATGTCTCGGCATTCTTTGGAAACAACTGTGCTCAGTCATAGCTGTGTAGGTAACCTGTACGATCTTTAAAATGTTCAAGCTTATCGAATCGCCCACCCTGTGCAAGGTACGGTCAGTGATACGTTTTTTGACAGCGAGAAACCTGTCTGCTGCTGTAGAATCTGAAAATAAATTTGATTTTTGAAAATTTTCTTTCTTTTGGTTTCTATTTTCAAATGGCCCTTACTTTAAAAACACCCTCATGGCTAGTACAAGATCTAAGAGATGGAATATAAATCATGGGAAATAATGCCATGCAATTATGACTTCTGCGCTTAAATTTAAAGACAATTTTTTCTTTACATCTATTATTAATAAAGTAATAATTAGCTAAACCCAGACTTATCTATTAGACTAATAGCTAATGAAACACTATTATTATTACTACTATTATTAATACCACTGCATCTTTCATGGTTCATTTTTTTTTTGATTGGTTAAGAGTTTGCTTGACTGCTTCACTTTCAGAGTTCATACTTTGTTATAAAGTAAAGTTTGAGACATTAGTGAGTTCAGAAAAATATTAGGGTTGCCTAATGAGCACTGCCATAGATGAAGCATTTTTAACTACACATATCAATGTACTGTAATCTTTAACTTTTCCAGTCTACCAGTTTGCATTTCAGATACTGTTACTTCAGCATTTCTATTTCACAGTTACAACATTTAATACTGATAATGCAGTGAAAGCAAGAGAACAATTCTCCAAACTGTAACAAAAGTATAATATACAACATCTTGTTGTGGTAAAGCGTGCACACATACAAAATAAATAAATAAAATAAACATGACATGTATAAATAACTGCATAAAAATACCTGTAATTTATTAGTTTAAGACTGCAGTATTAGCTAAAAAAAAATCTGTTGTTATGCCTCTTCATATAAAAGTGTATTGCGGTAAAGGACAGCTGATTGGAAATGCAAAAATCGCTTTTATTAAATACGTGTGCACTTATTTAATTTGAGTAACTAAACTACAAATAAATTTTGTTTTAATAAAGTAATAATTAGGAAAGAGCACTAAGAAGTGGAAATCCAAAATTTGGAATCATCAAGATTGGTTTTAAAAACAGCCACTTTCATTTCTATTTTGATAGTGGCCAATTTTAATGTGAATGAAATACATACATCTACCAGACGAGTTTTCTTAAATTTTATTAATTTAAACAACTATTTATTCTGATTACTATTTATTATTATTTTTCTTATAATTAAAAAAAAAACTTTCATTTGAAATAATGTTATTGAAATTTATTTGTTAATTGAAAATTTTATACCACAATAGTTCTGTATTTATGCTGAAGATGTTATAGTTCAAAAAAAGTTTGAATTAATAATAGTCTTACAGTGAATATGCATTAAATATTTGTCACATATTTTAGGAAAGACATATTATGGCAACTGACAATTTTTCTCAATCAGTGCAATTCAATGTATCAAGATCTTTTGGTGGCTTACCCTCATCTTTTTTAAATTTTGGTAAGAGAAAAATCAACATTTTCTGAATGTATTGATTTAATGTACAGGGTGATTATAATTAAAGTTCCACTTTGAAATAGTCATAAAAAAACCAAATGTTATCAAACTGGTAACATTGGACCAAATGGGTATCAAACTTGGTAATCGTGTAAAGGGGATGACAGAATTTATTTTCTGCAAAAGAAAAGGGAGTTCAAAAACTCACCCCCAGGGGGATAATGGCACTGTATGCTATATTGTTAAACAAAATAAGGGTCGGAATCTAAGTTAACTTTTTGTTACACGTATTTAACTCTTAAGAAAATTGACCTAAACAAAATTACCAATTAAAAGCGATAAAAGTCAAGTGTGCCATAACTGAACCATTTTTCTTTTAAGAGCTATCAATAGCTGGACATGTTACATACACTGTGACTGCAGCTCGCTTAGCATCAATGTTAAGGCGTTTCGTGATGCCTGAACTACAGCAATGTGGCATTTTAGACACCGTGATTTTTATGCAGGATGGAGCCCCACCACACATTGATACATGTGTCACACAGTTACTTAGAAAACATTTCATAAATGAGTGGATTATAGGCCGACACTTCCCCACTTCTTGGCCACCCCGGTCACCAGACCCTGTGACTTTTGGCTATAGGGTTACCTCAGAAGCACTGTTTCTCATGGCAATGTAAACAATTTGGTGGAATTGAAAGATACGATACACTGACATGTCCATCCTGATATGCTAAGAGCTGCTCTTGAGATTGCAGTAATACGATTTAACTTGGTTTCAGAAAATGGTGGACACCACATTGAACAGGCTTTGTAACACATTTTAGAAACGATTAAACACATTTTAAACCGATGTCTTCATGTCTTATATCGTTTAACATTATTGCATACAGTACCATTTCCCCCTGGTGGTGAGTTTCTGAACTTTTGTTTTTCATTGGAAAATAAATTCTCATAACCTCCTTTACACGATTATCAAGTTTGATAACATTTGGTCTTGTAGTTTTCCTTTTGTGACCATTTGTGGAGCATTTTTTGTGACCAAAGTGGGGCTTTAATTATAACCACCCTATATATTGAGGTTTTGTTGAAAAACTATATGTACATAATTTATTGTAAATAATGTTAAAATTTTATCTAAAAGATACATTGGTATATGATTTGCTAGAAAGACTACCTCAGCATTTTAGAAAATCTAATAAACTTAACTTTATAGTAAGTAAAATGTTTCCAAATGCTGCTGTGTGTAGCTGATGTTTTTTGAAACATTTGCAGCCGTTCTGGATTTTTATTTCTTGTTCCATTACATGTTTTGACAAGATATTTTACAAATTGATACTTTTATTTTCTGACCATATAAAAAATTAAATGCTGCAACTTATTTTAAGGAACAATAGGCATGGGATCTAGGATCAATTTTTAAGAACATGAGACCTTATAGCTACTTTTATTTAACATACTGCATAGATATTGTTTTTTCTCCATAAACTTCACAATATATCATTCAAGATAAAATGTGCCAAGTAACAACAAATTGATAGCATACACACACACATTTATGTGTACATATTTTTTTGATAGTAGTATATATAATTTCAGATAGTAAATGTCAAGTAACAACAAATATGAATATACACTGCTGGCCATTAAAATTGCAACACCAGGAAGGAACTCCAAATCACATGAAAGGAAGAAGAAGTTAGCATATGCAAATGATTAGTATTTCAGCACATTTAGATGATGCAGGAGGGAGAAACGACATCTGAAGCACTGCATAAAAGAAAAGTTTAGTAGATTTCTCATTCGGAAAGTGCTTTGTAAGGTTGTAGTTTGCTCAGAATATCGTGCTATGCCTCAAATTAGAAGAGGAAATGCTTATCAGCAAGTTTTGAAATTCAATAGAGGCAGGATCATTACCTATTGAAAGTGTAGATTATTGTTCCGTGATATCGCCAGTCACACTGGTTGACATCCCACCACTGTCATGCGAATATGGAATCAATAGATTGCTGAGGGTCATACTGAATGGTATGCAGGATCTCAAAGCCTTCCCATGAATAATGCCATAGAAAACAAACATATTGTGAGGTCAGCCCTGCAAAACCATATAACCACATTACGCACCGTTAGTCAGGAAATGGGCATGTTTGCAGCATGCCCAGTATCAACTAAGGTGTAAGGTGCGTTGATGTTTGCAGCAGCGTGGACTATCAGCAGGGTGACCATTACTTCGGCTTCCCTTAACAATGCAGCATAGAGAGAGATGGCAACTCTGGTGTATCATTTATAACAAAGCTGGGTACAGGAGTGGCACAATGTTGCCTTTCCAAAAGAGTCCTGGTTTCTGCATGCAGTATTCTGATTGCCTGGGTGTCCGAGGAGACCACACGTCACCTGCTTGTGTTCGATATTGGCATAGGGGCCCTATACCTGGTGTGATGGTTTGGGCAGCCATCGGGTACTCAACATGCACATCTCTAGTTCTGATCGACGGTAATTTGAATGCAGATCAGTACGTTTCTGACATCTTACATCCAGTGGTTGTGCCCTATTTTTGAGGCCCCCAAATGCCATGTTCCAACAAGATAGTGCAAGACCACATGTTTAACGTCGTGTTCTGATGTTCCTCGATACGCAGGGTATTCAATTGCTGCCTTGGCCTGCAGGTTCTACATATTTGTCACCCATTGAAAACATATGGTCATAGGTTGCTGAGAGACTGGCCCGTCACCCCTCTTCAGCTAATATGGTTGATAAAGTGTGGCATAGACTTGAAACAGCATGGAGTGAGTTGCCCATTTCTGTTATCCAAGCCCAATATGACTCCATCCCTAATGGGGTAAGGGCCATTTTAGCTGCCAGCTGCTTCTACTAATTTCACACCTCTATAAACCTCCAAAATGCTTACAAATTTAATCATTTTGCCTTCATGCCATACTGTTTATGTGCAATAAATATCTTTTTTGTATTTGCTTTGCTTCATGGTGTTGCAGTTTTAATGGCCAGCAGTGTATATAATCATTTAACAGAACTACAATTTTGGCTTAACTTAATTTTCCAGTTTGGCATCAGCTTTCTTACTTGAGTAAAAGATGAAACACCTTCTCATTTATTAATTATTGTTCATTGAACAGGAGTTGGTTTGTTCTCCTTGAAAAGTCAACTAATTTCCGATCAGTGATGATAATTACTTGTTATATTAATTTATTAATTATTCAGTGTTTTCTGGTAAAACCATGGTGTTTTAGTTTGAAAATAACGTTGTAGTATGTTGAAAATAATGTTTTAGTAGTTTCAATAACAGCTGATTATCACTATGTGATATTTTAAACATTTGTACAAATATCTCCAAGGAAAATTTCAACATTCTGTTATATTTTTTTTTTTTATAAGAATAAATTTTATTGGATTTCTGCATTCAGTCTATTACGAACCCGTATGCATGCAACATTATATTGTATAATATTCTAGTAGATTGCACCATATTTGTTCCTGATGAGTCCATAGTAAATCTTAATTTTGTGTGTAGATTTTATTAATTCATATATTTTTTGTTGTGTATGCAATTATCATTTTATTTGGGGATGGAGATATTGATGATGAAAGCTAGTGCATAAAGATGTAGTTGGAGTCATAGTTGGTTGGTGCAGTTCTTTATTTTTGACATCAGCAAGATGCATGCCTGTTCTTTGATAATTTCATGTGTACTTTTCATATATTTATAGCTATACATTTGAAGGATGGAAGAGGAATAGTGGACTATATGTTACTAGAAAGATAAGCTGAGATGAATAAGTATACAATATGCATGTTAATGAGGAATAGTTACATTATTATTCTGCTTTATTTCAATCAGGTGGTTTTGGTTTGTAAGTTCTGTCGTTATTATTAAATAAAAATCTTTTGTTATTATGTAAGTACATGTGCCATTAGCAGTATGTAAGGATAATATAAGAGGGAATAATTTTGAAATATTACAGCTCCTTGAGATTTATTGTAAACATGTTACAGTTTTTAAGACACAAAGATAAAACAACCAGTTAAAAAAGAAAAAAGGCTATTACAGATATTAGAAATTAAAATTAGTTATTTATTTTACATATTCTTTATTTCACATGCATGTTTCTATGGGTAATTCCAAAATTCATCATAATTTGAAAGTGTCCAAAAGGTCATGTTAAGCTTTTGCCAATTGGTCAGGTCAATTTTAGCTTTTGCAGTTGATATACGTATTATTTGGTGGTTTAACAAAACTACTTTAGTTTCACTGTTTTTTAGTGCTGTTTACACTTTGTTAAAGCTTCTGATAATCTACAGTAGTATGAAATTGTAACTTAAACTGTTGTGACTTCTGTTGCTATTTTTGCTACAATTAAATAATAATCTATAGCAGTGTGGAATTAAATTCAATTTCTTCACCAAATAATCTGTAATTCTAGTTATTTTCAATTTCTGTGAAAATGTAAAATATAAACAAAGATCATTAAATGCTGAAAGAAATTGTAATGATAAAATATTTTCCTTTAATGCAGAGGTTCTAAATTGAGGGGGGGGGGTTCTACATCTCCCTTTGTTTGTTCCTTTCCTATTTTTTAATGTTATACAAAGACTTTTATTATAAATTATGATTCAATAGCAAGCGCTGGTAAAAATATTAAAAGTCATAGTGACTTTCTCAAAGCAGACTTTCATAAAATTCCAAGAATTTGATATATTTTTTAATCTGAGTGTTTTATCTCAATGGGAGTTTGCTGGGAATTAATCATCTTGGATTTTTAATATAATCAAATTTTGAAGACTTTAGGGTTGATTGGAGCATTTTTTATGCGTAAATTTTAGAATAGAAATTAGTTTTCTCATGTAAAAATTAATAATTGTATTGAAAATTAAAATATACTGTGAATTTATTAATTTTTCTTTTTAAGAATTTTTTGTAATATTTGATACAAAAACTTTCTTTTCGTAAGGGGCTTTTTTTACAGAACTGGATCCTGAGACCGATTATAATAGATGGATGGCAAGATTAAATGCTCTTCAGCAGAAAATAAGAAGCCATAAGATGTTTTAATATTTTTTATGAGAACATGACAAAATGAACACTTTGTTTTTGAAAATGAATAAATTAAAATAACACTGAAAATATGGCATAGGACGTGGGAATATAAATAGGCAATAAATATCCAAAATAATATTTATGATTAAATAGAATATTTTTTTTTAAATAAGGGTATAAAATATTACCCATTTTTGCATATCTTTTTGTGAATTCTCGCTTAATTAAGTGTATTTTAGGAAGATTATTTGAATTTTTTTTAAAACTTCTGTTGCTGATATTTTGTGTATAGAATAATGTCTAGTCATTTAGTGGCAAGAAATAAATTATTTATTTTTCTAATTTTGATACAAGAATTTGTTAATTGGGAAAAAAGTTTATAAAAAGTGTATAAATGTATATGTAAATATAAGAATTTTCCTTTGAAAATTGATTTTAAATTTGTGTATTTATTTACAAATTACCTGATAAAATCATAAGTATTGTGCTTCATAAAAATCAAATGATTAATATGTAACATAGATTGGTGTTAAATAAAAATCTTTTGTTATGATTTAATATCCATCCTATGCAATTAACTTTTTGCATGGTATTATTTTTTGTGAAGCTAAATGCAAAATGTTACTTTATAAAAATTAAAATGGATAAAAAATCATTTGCTATTTCAAATTTATCTTCATTTTCTTAAAAGGTAATTCATAGTGTTACCTTTTTTTCATTTTAAATGAAGCTATTTTAAATAATCTAATCATGTAATTATGCATTTTATGTAAAATATAATATTTATTCTTTTTTTTTATTTTCATAAATGAAAATATATGTAACATATTATACATAGCTTTCTAGCATACATAAATATCAAATAATGTTCAAAATTTGCATTTGTAAGTGAATATTTTTATAATCCATACTGACATTTATTATTATTAAGATTTTATTCTTTCAATGTTTCATATGTACACATTAAGTAAAATAGATATTGTTAGGTGATAAGTTTTGTGATGGATTATACTTTTAATATAAAAAGAGTGAAAATATATCTTGTTGCACAGATTGTTCCATTGTGTTATATATTTGCTTTCTTGTTATTGATTTTCTTTTTAATGAAGAGAAGGGGTTGTATGTAAGAGTGCATTAAAATATTTATCTGATTCATCAATCTTTAACCAATTAATTTATTTACAGGTTTTAAAATAATTAAATACTAATGCAGAGATCTATCTGTCTCTCTCTCTATCTATCTATATATATATATACAAAAATCTAATTATAATCTAAAAATAAAATAATAAAAATGAACAACCAAAATTAAGAAATTAATATTAGAATTAAGTGTAAAATTTAAACATAAACAGAATAAATCAGTTGAACATTTTTAATGGTTTTGAATTAAATTTTATTTTCCTTTATATGTGTGTTTGTGTATGTATTTGAAAAATGCCTTCAAAAAGCTTAATTGCTGCAATGATATGTATAAATTAAAAATATTTCAAAATATTATCAATGAGGAATTTTGGTGGAAAACATGCCTATCTATCATGATAAAAAAATAAAAGAAAATTTTTGATATTTTGAAAATGCATCAATTTGTACAAATAAGTAAGTATATAAGCAGTATTAAAAATACATTCATTTTAATTTAACCAGGCAGTTCTTCAGATGAAATCAGAGCTGAATGAATTAGAATTGAAATATTCTGTTTTTAAAAATATAGTCTTTTTATTGATAACTTAAATATATTTCATAGATTATTCAAAAGTATCAGCTGTTTCATCTTTAATGAATAAATAGTATGTAATTGTTAGGGCTGATTTTGCTGTAGATATATTTTATAAAATGTTTTAAACATATTATGATGATAGTTTCCCTATGTTTATATGAATTAAACATAATTGCATTTTCTGATATATAGATCAGTAAATGGTGTAATTCTGTGCTTATTTACCTTTATTTTTTTAATATGTTGCCATTTCGATATAGCGAATGGTAACTGTTAATTTAAAGAATTCCTTACAGCATATTAAATTTTGTTAAGCAGTAGGAAGTAAAGACTGCCTCAAATTTAGTTGTAAAATTTAAGAAATCCCCCCATACAGTTTTGTTTACATATTTGAGTTAAGTCAAAATATATTAATTCATATTAAAACTTGTATATTCGTACATGTTGCATGATTTTAGCAATATGTTTGAGAACTAAAGAAAAATACTAAATTAACAGTTGTAAATCTATAATATAAATATAATATATAATCTATAATGTAATCACTTTAATATAAATTTAATATAGCTAAGGAATTTTAATGTAATTTTTAATAATTTAAAAGTGTGGTAAAATCTAAATCTAATCTTTTAATGAAATTTTCACATTAATATTTATTTGTATTACTTTATTGCTTATAATGAACTAAACATTTTCCTAATATAAAAAGATTTATGCCACTATATGTGATACTATTATGTGTTATCTTTTAGGTTTTCCAAAATAAACTGCAAATATAATTGTAAAATATTTTGGAATTTTAATACTTTAAATTTATTGTTTACTTCTTGGAACATGTATATTAATTGAACAATTTATCAACTATCAATTAAAAAAGCATATTTATAGAAAATAAAAATGTGTATAAAAAGTCTCTGGATTGTGGATGACATGATTTATGGTATTCTGTATTTACAAATTAGTTCTTAATTCTTGCATGTGTTTGATATCATTTTTATTTTAACTTTTCTTTGGGTCTGTGTATTTACTTCGCCATGTACTTTGTGTACTTTTAAACCAAACTTTGGAAGTGAATCAAATTCTGATTTTTCTGCAACCACTCAGTCCTATCCTTCACCATCTTCTAATTAATACATTAATTTACATGGAAGAGAAATCAATAATTAATGTTAGTTAATCTACTTACCGCAAAACTGTCCCTTTCAGTTAATAAAACATTAAAAGTACTTTTTTTGCCTATTTACATATTTCTTCTGTTTTCTACCTAATGACTTGTTCTGTTCTTGTTTAAATTAAAAGGATCAGTACAATGGTTTCTGTAATTTATCATTATAGTATGGAGGTAGTATTATCTTGATATTACATTATTATTAGTTCCATATATGAACCATTGTATTACAGGGTTCGTACGGTCCTTAAGAGTCCTTAAGTTTTTTGGATTCGATTTTTGGTCCTTAAAAGTCCTTAATTTTGGCCAAAACCGGCAGAAGGTCCTTAATTTTAATCCTGTGAAATTTTTTGTCTGTTTCTACGACTGCCAATTTGAGTGTGAATTAGCAGTTCGGAGGTATATTTTTGGCGATTCACTAATATATATGGTTATTTGAATGGGTCATGATTTCCTATTTCTAATATAAATGGTGGGATACTCGAGTTTCTGAGCAAGAAGTGAAACAAGTATTTTGAAATTATTTCACTTTTTCTACTGAAGAGCTCTTAAACAACTTTTCGCTTTTGGGGATGTGAATTCTTTTATTGAACGGCTTTAAATTTGGCAACTTATCAACATTTTGGCGATTTTTAAGATCAGTTTCTATAGAAAATTTTAGTTTCCATGATTTGGGAATTTTTCGACGATTTGTTTTTAAACATTCTAACATTGATAAAATATCATTAAAATAATGGTAATATATTGAAATTATATTTAAAAAATAACATATTAATTTAAAAATATCTTCTTTTTAATTTTTCACAATAAGAGTTTTCTCATGTAATTTTCTCGGAATTCTCAGAATATGCATAAGTTTTCTCTATAAAATTAATTTCACACTTTTTCCATCTGATTTTTTAAAAAAATATTTCTGGCTGTTTGCTGTTACAAAATTGGTAGGCGTAATTTTTCCGGACATTAGACATTACAACTTGGAAAGTTTAGAAGGATTTGAAAGCAAGATTTATAGACCCATCATTCCAGAATATTTTAGAAAATTGTAACAAAATGAAAAATTTCTCTATGGTATTAACATGTAATGGATGTATTTTGCAGAAAGTTTGCAATGAATTTCTTACTTTTTGGAGAACATCTGGAAGAACAATGAAAACATAATATTTGAATGCTTTACTTCTGATACTAGAATCTTTTTCTTAACATGCTTTTCTTCCCTTTATTTTCTCTACTTTTCACTAGACACAAGTATGAAAAATATTAAAAATGCTTCTAATCTTATGACATGGACAGGCATTATAGAAAGGAATTTTTTATTAATAAAGAAATTGAAAACTGGCAATTTAAAAGATTCATCTAATATGACTTAATGCATCATACACAGGTCTGACGCTAGGCATTTTCCCACCTGGTGCAATCACATGGAATATTAAACTTATCTCTGTAGATCCTAAATTTTGCTGACTAGTGCCTTTCTAAATTCTGCTTCCAGTGCCTGCTCTAAATTCTAAAAGTTTTGCCATTTCTACATTTTGTTGCTCGGTGTGTCACTAAATTCTAAAAATTCTGCCACATTAGCTCTGTAACCGGCCCTTTCCACATATAGTATTTCCTATTTTTCCTGAATGTCCATATTACTAATGAAATAAAATTAGCAGCTTTTTCTATGCATTCTAAATGCATGTAATTGTTTTTGAGTAACAGAAATCTTTAATTAAGTCAAAAAATTCTAAAATGAAAAGGAACGTGTTGAAGAAAGAAATTGAGAACATACAGAGAAAGAAAATTATTCTTCAAATATATATACAGGTATCATTATGTAAATTACCCAGTTGTTTATAATTTCAGCCTTTACTATAATTTCCCATTTCTATTTCCTCCCCAGAATGCAAATCGCTTAAACAGTTTTTAAACTGAGGTTTTTGGCGTGTAAGACAGAATGTGTTTTTAATGTCCACTTGCTCGTTGCATTAGTTCCTGCCAGCTCTGATAATTTGCAACTTTTTGTCTTTGCATTACCACTGCTGACATTTGAATTTGTTATGACGATAGAGTTACTGAGCCAGCTTAAATTAAAATTAAATTGTATAGTCTTTGACCACTAGTCCACATTTTTTTGTTTGAATTTGATTGTTCTTGTTTAATTGCATCACCATAAATTGCATTTGAATTGGTTAGCATAAGAACACACCTTTAAGTTCTTTTTAAATAAGAGGCTTATTTAAACATTTGTCTGACTTTGTAGTTACTTTGAGACATAGCGATAACTTGCTTCATGTCTGTCGGGAGTTTTTGGACTATTTAACTTTTACCAGATCAATTAAACCCTCATAGGTACATTGTGAAGAGGTTGACAACTTAGGAGATAAAGTACGCAGAAACTAGTCAGAACATTGGTTTGTGTATTCAGATTTTTAATTGTTAGGAAAGATGTTTAAAGAGAAGAAAATTTATATAAATTAAGCCAAAATGTCTGGGAAGGCTTCAAATTAAAAAGATGCATAAATATTTTGTTGAGTGTTGTTGCTACAAAACATAAATGTTTTTTAGCTACAAAAAGGCATTAAAAGCTACAAAACATAAATGTTTTCAGAGTCGTAGCTAGGGTTTTCAGCGCCCAGGGACAACTGAAGTTTTCGTGCCCCCTACTGCTTGCCAAGGATGGAAAACATTTAATTCTAAAATGTCGTGACATCAGTTTGGCGACCCTTGGATTCTGCGCCTGGGGACAGGTGCCCCCTTTAGCTACGCCCCTGAATGTTTTGTAGCTTTTAATGTATAATTATCCTAATATCGTTTAAGAATCAATGTCATAAATTGCATGTATTTTAAAGTGTGAAATTTTATTAGATTGTGATTTTAGTAGGAACTTTTAACAATATTGTTAAAAAATAAGTAAAATTTAATAGTAATCATGTAAATCCATACTGACTAAGGTTTTCTAACTACCTAATTTAATTTATAACTAACTGCTTACTCTTAAAAATTATCTCTGCATAATGAAGTGAGTTATTGCCTTTCATTATTCCTTAGCGTGGCACAAGGTTTAAACACAAAAATGTAAAAATTCATGTAAAACTTATTCTTAGTATCTAGTGAGACCTAAAATAATACAAAGCAACTTAGTGTCACCTCTGGTGCTTTAGTGGCTTATTGGAAACTTAAAGTATATTAACTTGGTTACAACACCTGGAACTCTACATGGAGCTACGACACTAACCGCAACAGACAGAGCCCAACTAACTTTCAAAACTAGGTAACCGTGCCC